CAGACATAACATTATGACCACCTCCTTGTTTCTACTCTCATTGTCCATTTTATCAGCTCCACTTACTATATAGGTGCACTTTGTAGTTCTACAATTACAGACTGTAGTCCATCTGTTTCTCTGCATACTTTGTTAGCCCCCTTTAACCCTGTTCTTCTTACTGCAGTAACACTGACATGGTGGTGGTGTGTTAGTGTGTGTTGCGCTGGTCTGAGTGGATCAGACACAGCAATGCTGCTGGAGTTTTTAAACACCTCAGTGTCACTGCTGGACTGAGAATAGTCCACCAACCAAAAATATCCAGCCAACAGCATCCTGTGGGCAGCGTCCTGTGACCACCGATGAAGGACTAGAGGATGACCAACACAAACTGTGCACAGGCAGATGAGCTATCGTCTCTGACTTTACATCTACAAGGTGGACTGACAAGGTAGGAGTGTCTAATAGGGTGGACAGTGAGTGGACACAGTGTTTAAAAACTCCAGCAGCACTGCTGTGTCTGATCCACTCAGACCAGCACAGCACAGCACACACTAACATCACCACACCACACTAACATACCACCACCAGTGTTACTTCATTGCTCTGTGAGGGTCCATGGGGGTCCTGAGCACTGAAGAACAGGGTAAAAGGGGGCTAACAAAGTATGCAGAGAAACAGATGGACTACAGTCTGTAATTGTAGAACTACAAAGTGCACCTATATAGTAAGTGGAGCTGATAAAATGGACCATGAGAGTAGAAATAAGGAGGTGGTCATAATGTTATGCCTGATCGGTGTGTATTTTTTCTTTCTCTGACACATGCAGCCCACATGAACAATATTTTGTAGTTTGATGGAGAAACTTCACAGAATTCCTAGAAGAGAACACAAAACACAACATGGCTTCCATGTATAGGTATGACATCACTGACCAGCCTCTGTTTTTCTTTCTTCTATTCTCCCACCATCCCTCTGCAGTTCTCTGACACTCTATCTAGTGATGTCTGCATCGGTCTATCAGTCAGGGCACTGGATAGAGTTATGTATGAGAGTGCTCGCATGTGGCTAATTGGAGTGCTGTTATGAGAACATCCTGTTCTGTGCTGAGTGCCAGAGGCTACGCTAACGTTCTCTCTCAGTGATCAAGAGCTGTGTGCTGTTTTTTTGCTGCTTTTGATTTATGTAGCCTGGTGAGTGTGAGACTGTATGACGGTCAGACATGATGGTGGAACTAAGGGGGAATCAGCATGCGAGCATCCAGATTTGATTTGGGCATCTCGCCCAGGTTCAATCACTACAGGATATGAGGAGATCAATGATTATTATTGGCAAGAGAAGAAGGGAGACGAGTTGGTTTGTATCACAGATTACTTGAACAGAATGTTTGCAAGCACTTACCAACAACTCCTTTCTTAATTGCAAAGGAAAACTAAACTTGCACTATATGACCAAATATTTGTAGACTCATCCAATGTTTCTTCTGAAATCAAGAGCATTAAAAGGGGGTTTTACATTTTATGTTGGAACATTGCTGTAAGGATCTGATTGTATTCAGCAACAAGAGCACTAAGGAGGTCATGTCCTGATGTTGGGTAACTTTGTTGTACAGTCCATTTTCTTAATAAATGAATAATTCAGTGTATTTATGCAATGCAAATTTTCATGTTATTCATTTTCTTTAGTCTCACAGGGCCAGATGTGCTGGATCGCAGTGAAATTCACTGCAACTAAGAGTATGCTCTCTAAAAACTGACCCCAAACAAAGTAAAATCAATAACGCAAGCAAAACAAACAAGCTAGAGAAACGCTAAGCTTAGCTAGTAGAACTGGTTTTGGCTTGCAAGAGGTCATTTTTTATTTTTACAGAAGGTAAAGTGCTCTCTGCAACCGTGACACAAATCTGCATGGAGGTTTTTGGAGGAATTTCAGCCATTATAACTTATGCTACGATCATGGGCTAACAACAGGTCTGTTTGTCTGTTGGACACCGTTGTCGAGTGCACCACCACCCCCTACTTGAGCTCCGCCCTCACAAGATGGTGGATTATAAAGTTGTAGGGCTGCTCAATCCCAGACATTTTGGAGTTGATGCAGATTCCAATTAACAGGAATCGATCCCGAGAGTTGCTTGCACATAAAGAGTACAATATTAAATCTATCGGATCTTAGCAAGGAAATCTAGATAACTAAGCTGATTACAGAGGTCCTCTTCAGAAGTTCCTACTCACGACTTCAGAGGTGGAGTTCATGTGCATTTATCTCATAAATACAGTATTTCTGACCAGACAGCAAAAGTTGTATCCGATTCTTCCTATGTCAACTTCAGGTGGGTAGATTTTTTTGTTGTTTTTCCACTTTGCCTGAAGTAAAATACAGTTGGACTATCAATGTGTGAGTTGTGGTAGAATGTGTTTTTCAGACAGTCTACTGTCTAACAGTGACAGCAGAATATCTCCCACTCTGGGTGCATGCAGCTGTGGGCAAACAAAGTTGACTCTTCCTAATGCCTGGAATCGAGAAATTGAGTCTTTTTGGGGTCGACTTCCAACCAGGACATTTCACACTTAGTTTGTTTCCACCCTAATAAGTGTACAAACCTACACACATTTAGTCCAAAATTTCACATGTGCTGTCAGAAAAAAAGATACTGTGTGGGTACATTTTTTGTTCATCAAGGGACTAACAATGTAAATATGCCTTCAAAAGTACAACAATGATTTTTTGGGCCAATTGTGTGCCTTACATAAGTTTTTTCCCCAGTGGAAAGGTGCATATTTGTAACTTTTCATAAGATGAGACTGGGTGTGTGGAGTCAATACAACTTTAAAAAACATAGCTGCTAGATTATGGTACAATTATGTTCCCTAACTAAAGGTACTGAGATGTACCCTTGAGGGTACCACCCCAGTGACAAGAGGGGTAAAGCCCCAGTGACAGCTTGGTATGTTTTTTTCCTGAGAGTGTGGTTGTTGCCAGACATTCTCATTATGAGATCATGTTTAAGCTGCTCTGAGAAGGAGTTCTACAGAATTCTTTACACATACAGGCTAAAACTTACCTGGAGCCATAGACAAACACGAGTACCTAATGTTGTGATCTCGTGTTTTGTGATGACTTCAAAGCTCAAACGTGTATTCCATTACACCCTTGAGCAAATCATTCCATGACCTTTTCAAAGCAAGACAGTCACAGACACTGAGCTCGCCACCGCTGTCTGCTTTACTCCAGAGCAACAACAGAAATCCAGCCTTCCAAAGTCTACTGTTAGTGTAAACTCAAACAGAAATTATGCAAGTACTCGCTATGTGGTCTTCCGCTAAAAAACGTTAAAGTCTGAATTTCCACAAGTAGTTTCTCAAATTGTGTTGATGGACTAACACCGTACGTAATGACATGTCTGAGGTCTGTGCTCGCTGTGGCACGAAATCCGGCAGAGAGCCTCGACATCTCCCGAAAAACCAAGATAGCAAAGGATGTCTCAATTACAGCCTCAGAAGTTGGCCAGAGCGGGGGAGGTTTGACAAAATGTGACTTCCCTGCTCAAAGAGCGGTAGGGGGGTGTCAACCTCTTCCTAAATCCAGCTAGGAACAGTCATTTCGACAGGAGACTTCCATTATCTGTCCAACCCATGATAAGATGCTCCGTCAGTAACTTGTCTTTTATATGCTGCCACTATCTCCTTATGCAGACTCGCAAGTCATTCTGGGCACACTCCATGCACAGTACAGCACAGAGTTGATGTGTTTGAATATAATCTGAAGTTTTATGTAACTTTTTTTTAATTTCTTCATTTTTCTGATAAGAGAGGCATGTGGATTATTCACTGATGTAATTTCTGCACTGTAACACTGCTTCTAGGGCTAGCCTGAACAGCATTTCACTGGGTTTGGATACCCCTTGGTGTTTACAAACAAGTACCGGGAATACTCTTTCTCAAAACCACACTTAAAAACAGTATTTACGTTTCAAAATCAATCATTATTTTTAAATACGTTTACTGTTGCAGTTTACAGTATATCCAGTAGGTGTTCTGATGTAATGGATACATACTGGTCCACATTTCCTAACATAAGGGGAGATGTCATTCCTTTGCTGTTTGCCTTTCATCTGGCCTGGCCAATCAAGTCAGATCTCATGAGTTGTAAGCCAATCACACCCACCCTTGATGTCAGTGAAGCCTTTCCCCATTTTACCAGTTTCTTTCAGCAACAGCAAAAAAAGTTATAAGCGTAGTAGGTTCCATCTGCTCAGTTAAAATGTTGGGGACTTCCGGTGTATACTATTTATTATTTTATGCATACAAATCATTAGAGAAGTGGCATTCTGATAAGTAGGAATAAAGACTGTCTGTACTTTTTTTCTGTAACTACACAGTAGTCTGCAACAACAAAAGAAATGTACCACATTTCACCAGGGCTATACCAAATGACCCTCTAAAGCTAAGAAAGAAACCATTTGAGGGTCCAACCTCAACTAAAAGTATGTTGTTTCCCAGTCAAGTGATGCGAACATGACTGGGGCCCGTGTTTCGTCAGAATTCCCCTCATGACCCAGACTATGATGATGACCATAAGCTTCAGCCACGAACTCCCTCAAAGAACTCAATCAGCACAAAGCAGAGGCAGTTCACACACTCCTCTTAAGGTCGTGAAGCAATGGTGCAACCAATGTTGAAGATCCATTCATTAATGATGGCTACTGAGGTTCTGGCATGTGTCTACATATACTGTGCCATAATGAGGCACTGAGCAGATAAAATGTTCCATAGCTTTCTACATACACCAGACCTTCCCTCAATCGGAATTAACAAAGTCAACCAAAGTTTGGCAAAGCACAAAATGATTCAGATGGGCACCTCTGAATAGTCTGTTTTTGGTTTTAGATGAATTAATTGTAGATAAGGATTTGTAAATGCTGAGAGAAACACTGTTTTCATGTTTTCCTCTGGTGTCTGGATTTAATTATGAGCACTGGGATTGAATCTTAAGGGAGTGCTGATGCTGGAACTGTAGCCTACCTCTCTCTGTTCACTGCAGATCTTGCACAACCACTGAGCTTTCTTTTGACTGCATGCCGCCTCGATCCCACACTTGGTGCACACTTTCTGAAAATTAAAGGCAAAAAAAAATCTGTTAGTCTCTGACTATGGATGGACAGATACCTGTTTCTCATAGGATGCATTCAAATATCAACCAACCTTTAAAAGATTACAATTTTCTTCAAAATAGATCATTTTAAACTTTTTAAGTATGAAGATAACAAGATAACAAAGCTCTAAACTGCAATACATCACCATCACCAGTAGCTTCAGTGGCAGAAGTGGAGAAATATGTAGACATTTAATTTTTTTTGTAGAAAGAAGCAACATTAAGCCAGGGTTACACTACACGACTTTTACCCGGATTTTAGCCCCGATTCTCAGTCTGGCTGAGTCTGTGTTAGTTGGCTCTAGTCTGCAGATTGTTGGGTCAGTTGGAGTCAACAATTGGACAGAGAATCGAGTAGTGTGTGAGGGGCGCAGACTCAGATTTTTTGCCTCCCGATCGGGTAATCTAGTAGCGTAAACTGGTCAATGACTCAATCTAAACAGACTCCTGCAACAGCCAATGAAAACGGAGAGCGCGACAGAAGAAAATACAGCAAGTAAACAAAGGAAAATGGCAAAAAGTTACTCACACGTGGAGCAAAGCTTTTTAATGAGCCGAGTTTAAGTTTATGTACATTTAAAAGTCTAAAAAAAATACCACACTGATTACAAATTTTAAATCCATGACCTGCACTTCAATATGCTTACCTACTGCTTCTTTACTGTGTCAGCGCAAACGGCAGAGAATACAGGAGCAGCAAGCAGTTTGCGCGAGTACAGCGAGTTCCGTTCGGTTCAGCAACAGCTTAAAAGTGTAAGTAGTGTGTGATCCCTAATCGTTTAGTGTGTGATCCCCAATATTTCAGTCGCCCAAAAAATTGCAAAAAAACAGTCAGATGGTGTGAGATGCTGAGTCTTTTTATAATCTCTTAAGACTTTAAAAGTCGTGTGGTGTACTCAAGGCTTTATTGAGTCAGGAGAAAAAAAACATGCTAAAATATGGTGTATGTGCTCTGCTGCAAGTTGCCCTGTAAAGCCTGAAATCATCATTTAAGTGTTGGGATGGATTTTACAGTATTCCAGACCACATCATGACACACATACAAATGTCACAAGCACAGGCTCAAAGAGAAGGTTTGGCTTGATGTTTAGGTCTCAAATACAAAATCTGCATTATACTGATGACCTAAGATAATAAAAGTAGGTAATTCACTTACATCCTTGGAAGACACAGCCTACAGCAAGTTTTGACTGAGTTTTTGTTGGATACTCTTTCAATGCGATCACAATCATCAGATTCATCCACTCAGGGCAGGGGTCCAAAGCACAACCAACTTTACAAACTTTTACTCACGAAATAAATTTACTCATAAAATAAATTAAATAAAAAGAATTGGAAAGTAAAAAAAATAAAATAAAAAATGAATAAAGATGATTATGATTTTAAAAACTTTTCAAAAATCTGTATTTTTGTTACTTCTTCATTGAAACCAGGACTCTATATGCAGTTTAGGGGCGCATTTAGAGCATCATTGCCATCTGGTGCTACAGATATGTGTAAGTGCGTGTAATTGGCATACATATAAGCTACGTTTGCGTATTTAACTTTCATCTTACCAACAGAAGGTATGTGATGAAGAAAAGAGCCCTGAGGGAGGGCACAAATGTTGCTTTTGTGTCTTCTCTTAATCTAGTTGCATTTAAATCCAAAGGTATAAAAACATGTAGTAAAGAACCCTAGAAAGATGATAAATGCCAGATATATAAATATAGAACAGAACACCAATGACAGTTGGAAAAGATCTACAAAGATGCTAAAAATGCTTATATATAATAACACCTCACAAATGACAGCGATAATAATATGGTTTATCAAAAATACAATCTGCTAATTTGGCTAGTGGAGCCAATTGCATGTGTTGTGTGCAACTTTGAACAGTTTCGTTTAACCATACAGAAATTATGTTGTATGCAACTCACAACATGCAACTAGTTGCATGAAAGTTTCACCATGTAAAGCCAGCCTCAGATCATACTAAATATGCTTTCTAAGCTACACTCAAGAGTTTACAAACTACAGTTCCGAACAACATAGTTGCTTAACACACAGAAGTGTAGACTCTATGCGTCTCATCTAAGCCTTTGAATGCAGCTGTAAATGGAGCTTGAAAAATGGCTAGTTTTAAGAAGCAGGTTATGATGACCAGTGCACTGATAATGAGTCTGTCAAAGATATCACTGAAACACACAAACGCATAAAGATGTATAATTTACCACAAGCATAATGTCCATCTCCAAATGCTGGTGAACGCCACGTCTATCTTCGGCAAAAGAAATTTAATTACAACAGGATATTACACTGGCTCCTGGTGAATTGGAGTTCAAGAATCAATTTGAATGCTAAAGGTTTGAAATGGCATTATAACAGGAAAGCAGAAAGAACCTTTAATCAAGCTTGCTGTAATTGAAGACAAAAGCCAGGAGAAGTACTGGTAATTACACCTTTTGCTGAAGAGTTCTGTATTTTTTAAATTGGTTTGAGGGAGAGAGAGAGAGAGAGAGAGAGAGAAAGAAAGAATGAAAGAGGGAGAGGGAGAGAAAGGCCACTCAGGAGGCCCTTCAATTTTCTGCAAACTCTCCAAAAAGAATCCTCAGAGCGAGCATGAACGCTTTGCATAATTTGCCTTCAGTTTTGAATGACAACTGACTACAGCCCTGTGTTTCAGCAGCGGCCACTGAAGGCCAAAATCAAACAGCAATCGTTGGCTTTGCCATCTACAAGCAACAGGTTTAAAAAAAAAAGATAAGGACGACACGGGGAGCAAAAAATCTCTGATTTGAGATGACTGAGATAAGTCGAGATGATTTATCTCTGAGGAGGTTGTTTATAATTAGCCATCCTTAGATCCCGCAAACAACAGAACAGCTGAACGAAGGGGAAAAATGAGTTCTTGCTGTGCTCGGAGCAAAACATAGCCTCCGCTCTTTTTTCCTCCTGTGAGTTCAACAATCACCTGGCACCTGACAGACCCCATATGGCAACGACAAAACAGTTCGACACCATTCTGCGAGTATGCGTAATACAACATATGTGGTTTATAAAAACAATTATGCCACTAACAGCATAATAATCTTTGAAATTACCGTAATATTCCCTGCATATTTAAAACTCAGCACCATGACATTAACCTTTATCTGCGACAGATGTTGCAACATAATGGGCCGCATTAAAAAATATCAGGTGAAAAATAGAGTTTATGGATCTATTTAAGAAGATAATGTTTCTCTAAACATTACCCTTTTAAACGTACCACCTGCAAAGGTTTATTGGTAAACCGTTTCAACCCGTCTGTGCTACACCAGCAAGTGTTTCGCACAAGAGGCATGTTGAATCACTGCTTCCATCTGGAAACGCTGACCCTGAAAGCTGGGCAGGGCTGTGGACAAACAATCTAAACAAAGCCTCATACCTTAGGCTAAACAAGATCTAAAGGCAGTGAAGACAGTGAGCTTGTTATTTAGACACACACTGCCCCCTGGTGTCGGACACTGGTCACCTGAAACGTTAGGCCACAGCTGAAAACATATCGGTTTTCCATGAACAGCTCTCTGCTGCTGGCTAATGGAAGCTTAGCGTTACTGCATCACACTGTAGGAGAGCCATAAAAGTTTTTGTCTGTTATATTTCATTTTGATGATGCACTGTAGGTGCCTTGCAGATGTTCAATTTGTTTTTAACTTACATTCAACTAATATTAATTCAACTTAGATTTTACTAACCCTAAACCCTATCTTTGGTCCTGAGCCTAACCCTAATGTTGGATTCTGCTATTTTTTCTAAATATCTGCATAATTAAATAATTAAGATGCAAGCAAAGTCATTCAGAGCAGTTTGAAGTAAAATGTTCCAGTCTATAAAAACATACCAAGTAAGAATTCTTCAAAGTGGTGGTGATAGAAACCAGATGAAACATCTGATGCCTCTAAAAGCTCCCACACTGAAATTATTCTATGAAATTCTTAAAATGTGCTGCCTGATGCCTGACACATTGTTTTATGATAGTTTTGAAGTACATTGGACTAAAACATTTTTTTTTTAAATATGCTCATGGTGGAGAGGTACATACAGGGTGATAATGGTCCCAACAGAAAATGTATTTTTTCAAGTTTATCACTATTTTACCATTACCAACAGTATATATAAAAATAAAATGGCTATATTAGCATTTTAAATATTGTGACCCCAGGTTCCTATCAACACCATTATAAAGAATTCTGAGTCGGTAGGTTTTTCTACAATGCAACACATGACTTAAAATCATCAAAAGATATTTATATTTGCATTGATAAAGTTAATGAATGCTTCCTGAGTGTTTCTACTCTATGCTAAGGGAATGTTTTACAAACCAAAATACACAGCTTGTTTTGATTGTACAATTTGAGTTCCAGAAAGGATACTATGCTTTTATGTATTTTGATTCACCAGACAGTCCACAATTTTACTCCAAGCTAACTCACAAAACATAGGGATGAAGGAAAAACGTGGACAGTCTGGGGGGCCCTGAGAACCGGGTTGGAAAACACTGATATAATTCATCTGGTAAAATTACATACACTGCGGTGAACCAATCTCATTCCAGTGTCCAATCTTAACCACAAAGGGTCACCTGCAGGTTTTCATTCTAAACAAGGAGAAGTACACTTGATTCCACTTGTTTAATCAGTTGCTCTCAGTCTTCAAACAACTGATTAGTTATACGAGGTGTGCTCATGTTCTGTTGAAAACCTGCAGCCACAACAGCCCTTTGCAGAAAAGACTGGAGACCTCCTTACTAAAATTAAAAAACAACATTATATACTAGTATAAATTATATATTGCCTAGCCCTAATGGTGTAATCATTGTCATATCATAGTATTATCACAGTATCGTAAAAATAAAATAAATGACTGACTGAAACAGTGTATTAAAATTGATATGGGCCGGCTTTTATGAAAACCACAAAACATAAAAAATGTAACTAAGTTAGTTGGAGTTAGTGCTTTGTATTAGAGTCGGCAAAGACTTTTAATCATGCTTTCACAACACACGCATATTTCAGTTTTGGTCACGGTGCACAAGATTTAAAGACATTATACAAGATTTAAATCAAAATTGCTATTATGTACAAGTTACAAGCAAAAGTTATTTGTCTTTGAGCATCTGGAAAAAAAAGCAGGAAACATATTTAACCAAGGATTACATAGAAGTGTTAACAACTAAATAGATTTTTTTTCTACCCTTTACCTTTCTTACAGATTCGATTCTTTTCAGCAGACTTGCTTTCAGTTTTTTAAGGCAGGGATATTTTTCAGCACCTCCAAAGTTTACTATTAGGCTACGTTCACACAGTAGATAAAAGTGGCCCAAATCTCACCAAATCTGATTTTTTTGTTTGGCTGTTCACATTATCTTTAAACGTGATCTGTGCGCGTCATTAGTCTGAACAGATCAGCTCCTAAACTGACCGCATGCGCAAAAGAACAATGCTTCACATTGCTTCACGTGGCTCATCCACAGGTAAACAATCCTGACTACAAACGAATGCCAGTCGCTCCCGGAGGGTTCAGTTTCATCTTTGCCAGCATCACAGGAGCAATCATGAGGTTCCGATGGCTGACAGCTGGGCTCATCACCCACAGTGTGTTTGAGCTCGCCGTAAAAGACACGTTACTCGGCCGCAGTCACTTCTTTAGTTTGTGTCCTCAGATTCTTTAAACTTTGCTTTTAACTGCCGCGTTCGGCCATTTCTTTCAAAACCTCTTCGAACACGGAGCGGTTGCGATAAGTCTCTTCACATTTTTTAGTACAGAAACATCAGCCTAAATGTTTATGGGGTCTCAGCAGCGCGAAATGATGACGAATGTCGAGTTGGATTGACATAAAAGTCGCACGAATCTGGCTGTTCAGACTAAGTCGCATTGCTGCGTATCAGATACATATCGGATTTCAGTACCACATATGAAAGCGTCTCAAATCGGAAGTGAAAATGTCAGATTCAATACGTTTTTTGCTGTTCACACTGCCACAAAGATGACACATCTGTGTCACACATGAGGGAAAAGATCAGATTTGAGCCACTTTTACCTGCTGTGTGAACGCAGCCTTAGACGTTGGTGGCATTTTCGAATCCTCGCGATCCAAGTAATCTCAAACACATTCACTGACGTAGAGGTGTGGACTCTGGGGTGACCAGTCCAGTGTTCTGAGAACATCAGCAGCTACGTGTTAATGTTCTCCACAATGTGCTTTGGGTTGTTATCGTGCTGTAGAATTAATTGCTTCCTAATCAAACATATTCCAGATGGTCTTGCAAACATACTGCATTCTGTTAGTTCTAAAGATCTCAAATTTAGAATCGAACATCTAGAAAACATTATTCCACATTCAGTTCCTGTGTTCTACATCGAAAATCAAATCTAGTATTGGAAATCCAATTGGTCATGAATGCGACCCAGTACTATAACTACTTCAGCATCTGTAGATAACCTACAAGGGGCCATAAAAAGTGTTACCATGTTTATAGTACAGTATTATGGACGAGCTGCATTGATGTAACAGTGAGAAAAGTGGCAAAAATGACATTATATGGAGTGGAGGCTGTAGGAGCAGTGAGATAGTGTGCTTTACCTTACAGCAATCGAGGCAGAGGACTGAAGGAGTTCCCAGCAGACCCAGAGACTCCCCACACAGCAAACACTGAGACAGCCCATTCCCCACCGCCGACCTCCTCATGTTCTCCAAACGCTCAATTAGTCTCCTGTAAACACACACACCTCAATGTCATATTCACATGCAGAGTACATGGTATGTTTATTTACCACAGTCAAAAAAGAAAAAAAAGAAGTTCTAAGTCAGATGCCTTCATGATATGCTGACACAAATAACACAAGCATCTATCATGACTGCACTCAGGGCCTGCACAGATTAAAATTATCTGGAAAGGTTATGGCCTTTCCTGCTCAAGCAAAAGGCTCAGCACTCATGTAAATACAAAGGAGAGCCCGTGTCAAAGCACTACAGCTACAATAGGTTTAGTGAGAGGCAGCTCAAAAGGGCATTCTGAGAGAACAAGAGCGATGCAGACAGATAAAAAGCTCTACCCGATCCTGTGCTGCTCAATCAGCTCAAGCTGTTCGGCTCTGCGGATGACATTCAGAATGATGTCCAGCTCCCGCTTGTCCAGCGCCTGGGCCTTCCTCTGCTTCTCTGACTGGAACGTATGTACTGACCAGCCAGTGTGCAGCCTGGTCACACACACACACAGTAAATTACATCAAGCGATAATGTTCTTGTTTTTTTTCCGTAGGCTGTCTCAATCATAAAATACTGTCAGACAATTAGTTTACAATAGAAATGATCGCAACTGATAATTTACTGACCTTTTTTCATTTAGTACAGCTATTAAAGTACAAACCTAAAGTGGACTAATTGGCAGATTGGCTATCTTCCTTCCTGGCTGCTGATACTTAGTAGCTCCAAACTGAAGACAGATGCAGCTGGAGTTTAAATTAACGAACATTACTTACTGCTGCCCTCTACATGTGTAATAGCAGCATGTCAGAAGCTAAAGCTTGTTGTTTTTATAAGGCCCATGAGGTTTCTCAATAAACTTGTTCTCTGTTTTCCTTTATTTACATGATTTTGTCTCAAATCAATGGTGGAAAACACACCCCAATTCATATTCCATTTGTTGCGAAATAAACAAGACAAATGCTAACAACTGTGAAAAATAATTATGTTCAGGTGATTATGTAATAATTGCAACAGACCTAAATTTAGGTCATCCTTGCAAGTGTTTGCACAATTTTTAGTTACAGCAGCTGCTAAGCAACTTCTTGTCAATGGAAAACAGAAAACCCTTTTAGTTTAGTTTACTTATCAGTAACTAATTAAAGTTGCCTATGAGTCAGTAATTATGAGTCATTTAACACCCACTGTAGGTGCTCAGCCATTTCAGAAATGTTAAGAGTAATCTTTCTCAAAGTAATAGCCAGCACAAAAACCCATTTTTTTGCAATGAGTGGATAAAGAAAAGAGGAATGGGCCTTGTCTAAAATATGAACTCACCAGACATTTTGTGGGGATTTCTAATAACAAATTACTATTAATTGGTGCCCATTCGAAATACTGCCTGATGATACTAGCTGATATTTATCAATCTTTTTCATTTGCAGTGTCAGCAGGATTTTAACTCACAGTCTCCTAACTCCTAAATCCAGAGTGTAATAAATATATTATCAAACATTCGTTCAAAATATCAGTCAAATCTAAACATCTGTCCGATGCCGATGTTTTCTTGTGCAAATATTTACAGATATGATTTCGATATCACCCTAATATCAATCCTAATCTTAGCAATATAGACTGAACCGGTGAATTTGAACTTTCCTAATCTTTAGCATGAGAATAACATGTTATAACACAAGTTATAAAAAAATAAGAAAAAGAATTTTTTAAATATCTATATTATTTAAGACTATTATTATTGAGTTCATGCCATTTATTTGAGTTTTTAAAGTGACAATTGAGAACTGACATTGATATCTGTCAGTAAAGTAGCATATAACTAAACTATTAAAGTATAGAAGTTAAATACGTATAAAATATTAAAATACAAACCACGAATATAAAATGCATAACCCTTTGAATCAGTAATGTGGTGGTGACAAAAGTTTCATATTGGTTGAGTCTTAGTATTAATACAAGCCAAACGGTTAATCAGACACAGGACTGACTCAGTATCACCAGAACAAGCATAAGAATTCATGATAGTCCTGCAGAATCACTCACTTGGCTCTCAGGGCTAGCTGTCGGTCATTTGGGCAAACCCACTGACTATTCCCACAGCCAAACATGGTGTCGGTCATGCCTCAAAGAGATGCTTGGAGAGAAAAACAAAGACAAGTAAATATGTAGTTTCTATATATATGCAGTTTCCTTACAATTGATTTAATCACTTCTCTATTGGTTTGTTTGCCACAATCACAGAGAGGAGACATATGACCTTTCAGAAAAGTCCTGAAGCTAACTTTGAGTAATGAAAGGAAGCTTGCAGATCAATGCCTCAAAGCCTTAAGCATTTGCCATCAATGTCAGTCAATTTAGAAGCCATTAACGTTAGCTATTTGCCTTGGGGCAGTGGTTAGCTGTGACGCTGCCACTGTGCATTTTCCACATCACAATAAAGCTGCACAGCTGTTTAGCACACAGTCATCAGTTAAAGGGTTTTCACAAACAAGAGGATTCAGTCATGTACGTTTTCAGTCATGTATAGTAAAATAACTAGCCCTAGAGGGTAGCACTGATACTTCATATCCATTTCACAAAAGAAAAGCTCTATTTCACTAAAGAACATCCAAAAGCAGCAGCCTTTTTTGCATCTGGACCTCATGATTAGTCCTTTCTCTGAACATGACAATAAATAAATGACAATAAAGGCTTCATTCAAGTCTGAAGCAAAAAAAACAAAACAAACAAAAAAACAAAACAACCTCACATGAGTTAGTGCTAGATTCTAAACAATGAGTCAGTGTCCTATCTCTCCTCTACAGTTGGACAGGAAAGAAGTCGGTCCATTTCTCTTGGCCCTGCTCACTCGTCCATTTATCAGAGCGTTTGTGCATTAAAAACACATTCTGCCCTAAAAAACACATTCTCACAAAGTTTGCGCTCAGTGGCATAAACACAAGAAAGGTGTGGTGCAAGGACAGAGAAAAACTACAATTACATCTGGAAAAAAAGTGCTTTTCCTCCAGAAGCACCAGGCAATGAAGTCATGAATGTAGCTACTGCATTGGGTAGCTGTGTTTTATCTGGTTTGTGATGCAGATTACTTAAAAGCGCAGTCATGAGAAAAAAAACACCCGTCACACTCTCGCTCTCTCAAACACGCACCTCATTTATGACTAAGCGACTCAGTCTGTTTACATTTCCATGCGACCTAATGCCCTTTGTACAGCGCTGCTGTTTAGGCCTCGGGCACAAAAGAGCACAAAACAGCAGCTCTAAAATAAAAAACAGCCAATCAGCAACATCAGAACACTCCGCACTTCAGAACTAGACCTGTAAAATCTTGACAAAATACTCATATCCCAATTATACTGCTACACCTTGCACTGTGCAAAACCAAGCATCACAAAAAAAGTAGAAAACATATATAAAAGGAAATAACACCGCCTCAGCATCTAAATATAATATCTTTTTTTCAATATTTAGTATGTCCACCTAATGTCTTCCATTCTTTTCGGGAGACTTGTTTCAGTTTTTCAAAGAAATCTCCAGAGATGTTTTTCCACAACTCCAAAGTTCAGTCTCAGAAGTTGGTTGTATTTTCTGTTTCTCATTATCCAAGTAACCCCAAACACATTTAGTGATGCACTGCTCTGAGAACACCAGCAGCTTCTTTGTTTGATCTGTAAATTTTCTTCTTTTTTGTGCCCGTTTCATTTTCGCAGTAAGGGCTTCAGACAGCTACACATCCTTTCAGACTCATAGCATTGAGTTGTCTTCTCACAGTGGAAGGAAACACCTGTGAATTTTCTAAGATCTAGAGTGAGAGTGGAGCCTGATTTTCCTCCTCCCTCTCAAAGTTGACTTTCCCCTTCTTTATGCAAGTGGATCACCTAATCTCAGAAATATCTACTGAAACATGGATAACTAGTACTACTAGTGCAGTATTAAGTGAAAATTAAATAAATGAAGGGAGGTCTCTGACTTTTTAACAGCACTGTATTATGATCCCAAAATACATTGGTGAATCCTTGATGTGGCATTGTTTAAGACCATCTTGCATTATTCTGACCAAAATTAATAGTACTGATAGCACAATTCTAGTTCCCTGCAGAGTTTAGTTCCAACCTGCATCTAACAAGATGCCCCTCTGATGCCAATGCATCTGATCCAGCCAATCAAGGACAAGTTTATTAGCTGGAGCAGGTGTGGCAGATTGTGACAGGGACTAGACTCTACAGGAAAGCAGATCTTGAGGACCAGGGAGATCACAAAGAAAATTATAAAAAAAAAATCCAGTACTGGGCTCCAGTGCGGCGCCACCATCTAAGCGTTGGCCCTATCATCAGGAGATCGTGAGTTTGTTCCCTGGTGATGCTACAGCCATCCATGGCCAGGAGTCCAACAGAGCACAACTGGCCTCGCTCTCTCTGGGTGAGCAGGATGGCCCTCCGTCCCCCATCACTCAACATGATGCTAGTCAGCGCAGGCGTCTGTTAGCTGACATGACAGAGCTGGCAGTTGGAGCTTTCCTTCGAGTGCACTCAACTGTCCAATGATACTGCATTAGCGGCAGTTCGAAAAGATGCGGTGGGGTTTCACAGGTCTTGGAGGAAGCCTGTGCTAGCCTTCACCCTCCTAGTGCGGGTGGTATTGTGATTGGTGGAGTTAAGTAGTGGATGGAATTGGAAACGACTAAATTGGGGAGACAATTGTGAAAAAACAGATTTTGTATATTGTCTTTTACAATATTCATCAAATGACCTCCCTAAGAGCAAGAGGAAGAAGCACTGAGAGGACTACACTCAAAAGGAGAAACTTCTTAACAGCTCAAAGAAGAACACTGAAGGGAACCAAGACTCAAAAGGAGAAACGCCCGAGAGGCATGAGGAAGAAAACACTGAGAAGAACCAAGACTCAAAAGGAGAAACGCCCGAGAAGCATGAGGAAGAAAACACTGAGAAGAACCAAGACTCAAAAGGAGAAACGCCCGAGAAGCATGAGGAAGAAAACACTGAGAAGAACCAAGACTCAAAAGGAGAAACGCCCGAGAAGCATGAGGAAGAAAACACTCAGAAGAACCACGACTCAAAAGGAGAAACACCCTAGAAGCATGAGGAAGAAAACACTGAGAAGAACCAAGAGCATGAAGAAAAACACTGAGAGGAACCAAGACTCAAAAGGAGAAACTCCATAAGAGCATGAAGAAAAACACTGAGAGGAACCAAGACTCAAAAGGAGAAACTCCATAAGAGCATGAAGAAAAACACTGAGAGGAACCAAGATTCAAAAGGAGAAACTCTAAGGGCATGAAGAAAAACCAAGGGTGACTAAGACCATTGCACTACTGATTATGTTAGACATACAGGATATTAGATGTGAGAACAAGGCACAACATGTTTACACAATTCATGGCTAAATGGACTATTCTGCCTTCTTTTTTTTTTTCAAAATGTCTGCAGAATCAAAAAGTTAAAATGTATACAAAGTCATTTACTGTGGTTTCCATTCTAAAGAAATGTGCGTCAGAATTTAATGCCTCTAAGACTTTAATGCCTCTAGAAGCTCCCTTAAAGATAGTTAGCCTATTACATGAAATGGTTACAGATACACTGTCTGATGCCTGAGACATTATTTTACCATAGTTCTAAGGTAAGGTTTTGGCCTAAAACACATTTTTAAAAATCAATTTATGGCAGAGAGGTACAGGCAGGGCAAAGCAAGGCAAAACAATACCAGAAGAAAATGTATATTTTCCAGATTCACGACTATTTTACCAGTACAATGTAACATATATAACCTCAGAAGACACGAGTTGTTGATGGGACAGTTTCAACTGTCCCATCAACAACTGAATTTTATTTTGTGATAATAAAGTCTGTCTATGTTGACTCTACTCTAAATGCCTAAATGAAATGTTGTGTAACTGAATTAGGTTCATACAATAACGTAAAGCGACTACATTTGTTTTCTAGTAGGGGTGGGTGGTACGATAGTAATGTGGTACACCGCAGTAGGTAAAAACAATGATCTTTAAAAATAATGACGGTATGTCAAAATGATGTCAAATTTCTATTGCAAGACTGAGGGGACAAATAAACACAATGCACCCATTTATATTTGAGAGGGCTCACTGATTGGAGGTGTGGCAGTTCAGCAATAGGTGGCGTAACAGAAAAAGGGGGAAATCAGAGCCAGGAAAAAACCCAGAAAAACTAAGCATGATAGCAGTTCAGCAACAGCAAAGAGCTACATGTGGCAGAACCGCACACAAAGAAGCTTTTACTGGAGCTTTTACTCCAACATCAGTCACTAACTGTTGCTAAAATGACACCTGTTTAGAGAGCGCTCTCCTCTAAACAGGTGTCGTTTTATTAATAGTAAGTTACAATCATGCTGAGGTGTGGAACGTTTGGCCTCTAACTAAGCTCTCTCTCCCAAAAACCACAGAAGAGGATTTATTTCTGCTTACTGTCACTCTACTTTTGCTATCTCAAACATTTTTATCATCTAAATTTGTGTCAGTACAGCACCAATTTTCAGAACCAAACCTGTACTGTGATGGGTGGCGCTGTATGGGCCTGTAGCCTGCTTGATAAGCTAACATTAAGGTAGCCTATCAAGCTACAGATCCAAACTCCACAGAAGAGATTTGATTTTGCCTTCTGTATTTGAAATAACGCTAGACGAGATGGCTATAAGTGTTATAAGTGACTTCTATCAGCAGCAGCTCAGCTTTTCAGCGTAAATAGATACCACCCAAGTCAATGTTGTAGACATTGTGACGCCTGGATCCACCACCACTGTAAAGAAGTTGGTAAGCTTCTCTACAACCATTTCATATCAAAACACTCTGAATGAGTGTGAATAATGAATAAATGTTAATAATTACATAAGACTAAAATAAAAAAGTGAAATTCCACTTTCACATAAGCTGAAATCAACTCAGTGCTTTGTTAAGGTGAACCCTAAGCTAGCTTGCTTATTGATGCCTGAAGTAGGAAAATCAGCAAGTTGTCATGAACGACCAATTATCCATTTCTCTAAAGACCACAGCGTTCATTTGGTAACAATCTCAAAACTAGCTCTCCGAACACTTAAAAAAGATGGTTCTTTAGGAAAGAGAATGGTTTTATATAGAACCATGAACACTCAAAGAACCCTTTGCAAGATTAAATGGTTCTTTGCATCGTGAAACGATTCTTCAGACTGATGGAGAATGTGTTTTATATGGTTCTATACAGAACCTTTTTGAAAAGAGTTCTATGTAGCACCAAAAAGAGTTCTATTGCTATGATGTTGAGCTTGTAACAACAGAACCATAAACAGTCAAAGAGCGCTTTGCATAATAAAATGGTTCTTTCCATTGTGAGATAGTTCTTCAGATTGATGGAGAACCATTTCACAATGGAAAGAACCATTTAATCATGCAAAGGGCTCTTCGACTGTTCGACTACAATCATTTTCTCTGTTAAGGAACCCTTGAAGAACCATCTTTTTTTTTTTAAGAATGTGCAATTCTCTGATGTAACAGTTTCAACTCACAGCAAATGAAAGTGCTGTTTTAACCAGCGAAAAGCCCCATTTAAAGTAACCACTGTTCCCTCTGAATATTCATTTCAGACTTCCCCTTGAAGCAAAGAACAAATACATGACAGAGGAAAAAAAATACCTTAATAACATTAACCACAGAGCGCTGGCTCCGGGCGATCGCCACGCTACTTTCAAACTCAATACGCTCTGGCAGCTGTTCAGGCCAAATCCACTTAAAAGCTGTTGGCAAACAAAGACGCACACCGACAAAGAGCGAGAAAGAGAGAAAGTGTTTACCTTGGGAGAGGGGCTGATGACAACAAAAGCAAAAAGAAAGGAAACTTTCACCAGGCTCTGCTTCTGATCTAGGATCTACTTTTCCTCTTCCACGTCCCGAACTTAAACAATACAAACAAAATCCCTCAAAACTGGTCTTAGATCAGCGTGAGAAGGAAACTTCGACAGGGCTCCGTGGCCAACCTGTCACACCGGTCACATGACGGTAGAACAATCCCTCTGAAACATCCTGTTCCTCCGCTGGCAGTGATTGAACTGCCCCTGATGATAGACTTCCACAGACCAGCCTGTTTTAAAGGGTTTACTATTGACCTGGCCTTCAAAGCTAAGCACTATATGTCACTGTGATCTCATTTGGAGGGCCTGCTGGAGCTCCGAGACATCCCAAATTGAAAGTTGAGGGACGACTATTGTTTCTTTCAAATAGGCAGATGCTGGGCTTAACAAAAGCTTTTATTCAACCAGAAAGAGGTCTCGTGTTCGGATAGACTATTAAGTGGACCTAAAACTAAAAGGCAGTATAAGCAGTATAAGACATTTCATGTTTTAACACTGAAGCATCAAACAAAATTAAGAAGCACTACATTTCACTCTGTATCAGAGATTTTAAAGGGCTCAAATTGTGCATCTCTTCTGTTTTTTTCATATTTTTTCCTGATGACCATTTATGGTGTTTGTGTGGTTTTACGCACTTAAAACAGTCATAATTTATTTTTCTGTGGCTGGTATCCAAACTCTCTCTATCATTTGAAATTGAACAGGCTGTTTTTGTTACTGTGCCATTAGATAGAGAGCCAGACAGACAGATAGATGGACAGACAGATACAACTTTGTCATTGTCCAGTACAGGTGCTTGGCAACAAAATGCAGTCTGGCATCTTCCAGACGTGCCAACAGTAATTAAGGGCAACTATTTCAATATTGCAATATTTGAGGTGAAACTTTATGACTGAAACATGTAAATGATCTCTATTTTGATTGGTCACCCTGTATTGTGCCTCCTTCAAAAAGCAGTCTGGGTTGAAACACTCCTTATAACTTCAGCATGAGTGTGCTGAACTGCTGTAGGCTGAGCAGGCAGATTTCTGTAAATGAGTTGGTATTCGTGACATCACAATACACTGAATTCAAAATGGCTTGTTTTTACAGCAGTATGTTTCAAGACCTCAACAATGTTCATCAAACTATTTTATTTCAGAAAAGAGGAAAATCTGGATTTTCATTATATTTCTTTTGGTCTATATGTTCTCTGAGCGCACATCTGAAGAAATGTTTCAAATTCATCAAACCAGATAGCTAAAAAGCACGTTTTTTATCATTTATCATTAGGGCTACTATTTTTAACAAAACAGCTGAAAATCTAAAATTTGACTGAGAGTCAAAGTATGAAAATCAAATATGTACTGTTAGATGTTCATCAAAGATTTAACTACACAAGACTTCACCACTTTAGTCCAATCAGAACAAGATCCAATTTTCATACTATAATACACCATAACATTAAAAAACCTTCTTGTTTCTACACTCTTGGTCCATTTTATCAGCTTCACTTTGTAGTTCTACTATTACAGACTGTAGCCCAGCTGCACTGCGGTGTCTGATCCACTTGTACCAGTGCAACCCATGCTAAGACGCAACCACCATGTCAGTGTCACTGCAGTGCTGAGAATGATCCACCACCCAAATAATACCAGCTCTGTGGTGGTCTTGTGGGGGTCCTGACCACTGAAGAACTCCCACAAAAAGGGTAAAGGTGATAAAGAAATAATGGACTACAGTCTGTAATTGCAGAACTACAAATTGCACCTATATGGAAAGTGGAGCTGATAAAATGGTCAAAGACTGAAGAAACAAGGAGGTAGTTATTATGTTACAGCTGATGGGTGTATATATAGCTGATGTACATGGACGGGTGAATAGAAAGGTCTAATATGCAGGTGGCATATGGACAGATGGTCTGTCCATTTGCAATATTACATTTCAGCAAGTGACCTGTTAAAGACTCCACTAACAGCAGCAGTTCAGCTTACTGATGCAACTCATCAGTAAATAACGCAAGCACGAGGCACATGCTTGCTGAAAACATGACAACTTTGGACATCTGTCATTAACTCCACAAGTCAATGTCACAAATGTTTCAGCTGTGAACAACCATGTCCCATTCTTCACCCCCAAACTTCAAGAAGGCAAACTTGCCCAGATTCCCAGCCTCACCTGGTGACTTTATGTATCCACGCAGAAAAGGGACTCTTTCCAAACACCGCTCGCTCCTTCTCCCAGCTGTGCACACACCTGCGCTGGACGAAGAGGTTAAAGCTGGAGACGCACGATAAGGCAGCAGGTGGAACACAAAAGACTTGCTGCCCATAGACAGTGCAGAACGGAGCTGCCTATTGTACACAGCTCCCTTCAGCTTTCTCCCCCAAAAAAGCAGAGACGGTCCCGTGGGTCCAGGCTCTGGCTTCGGACAATGGCTGCGCTGCGTTTTATCTCCAACTCTGCAAACAAGTGGAAAGGAAAGGGAAAAAAAGGAAACTGAGGTCACATTACGCCAGTGCCCCCTCCTCCCAGCCGTGTGGAGAAAGGGGAGGGAGGACCGCATGTTCCCTCCCAGACATTCAGCACAGGTTTCCTAGGAGAGAAACACCACAACCTTTGTGTCTGTTTCATTAGGAGGAAAAGGGACTTTACCCCATATAGTCCACATGCAGTTATGGTCTAGCTGTCAATGAAAATCAAAAAATGGGATGTGATGTTACAGCCTGGTTTATACATAACATTTGCTGTGAGTCGAACTAGTACTGAACAATATATATCTATACATGTGTTCCAGTTTTGGTGTCACGCAAACTGATTTTTAGTTTTAGCAAAGAAGTTATAGGGACACTGTGGCCAAAAGCAAAAACGTAAGCATTGCTACATCTGTTGTAAACATGCCTAATTGCCCATCACAGTTGGTCCACAATAGCATATAGTGTGAGATTTTTTCTTTTTAATACTAGAAACCCCCCTTCTGATGAGGTATCTTGAAGGTGGGAGGAATTTCTGAAACGCTACAGGTGCCTAGGGGTGATCACATGAAGGCAGGCTGTTTGAAATGCAGAAGGAAGATAAAAGAAAGTCAAATAGCTCATCTGTATTTATTATGTTCTACACCAATGGATTTCCTTATTGCTATGGGATTCCCAGTGGTTGTGTAATGTATTTGCGTAATGTATGCTGGGTACTGTAGTGAGAAAACACTGATGGAGGAAACAAAAGGGATACAAAAGTGTGAGTTCTGTCAAACTGATGAGGCTGAGGGATGCAATGCTGCACTACAGAAGATTACATAACGTTTGATATGCCCATTTGCCCATTTAATTGCAGTGTGGTCATTTGCTGGATGCCTCAGATTGTTCTGAAAGAACAGTTCACATAACACAAAATACAGAGCAAGTTTCCTTTCCAGAAATCAGGTTTCTGTCTGGTTAATGTTTACAATGTCAGGTTTATATGACATTCTTTCAGCACAGAGTAGCAGTACTTAGCACTTAGGCAGCAGGAAGTTCAGTATTTTTATTCATGCTAATTTAAATATAATACCGTAACTGCAGTACTGTGATGGATTTGAAAAGTATCCTGATGCTAAATTCTAGCAATACCGCCCAGCACTACTAACAGGGTACAATGTCTGAAAAAACTGGTAAGGAAAGCTGTTGAGGTGACGCTTTTTAACTCTTAATATAAACATGCTGACCAAAGGTCAGAACTAACGTTACACTTACAGAGAACACTGACTTTCTGCTGAACAGGCTAACAGCATGACGCCTACTGTGCTATATGTTTTTTTAGTTTTTGGTAAAAAATAAATAAATAAATAAATAAAAATCAGTTTATCGCTGAAAACACATACTTACATGCTGGGACTGACTTCAATCTCCATACTAAATATATAATAGTAATGAGGATAATAAAAAAACAGCCGATGCTAGTCGATGTCAACTGAGCGATACGTTGGCTAACCCTAGCTACGAACTGAAAGGTTTCTCCTCTGCGCTAACTCATTCCTGAGTGGTTGTGTTTCCAAAAACAAAGAGAAATGTCAATATTTGAGCATTACCGAAGCATGAAAAACACCTCAAACGGTTTAATACACAGCAGAAAACCATTTTGCGGCTAGTGACTAACCGCACAGGAAACGAAGTTAAGACTGTAGTCGTTAGCCGGCGCTGCTAACCTGTTTACAAAAGCCAGCCGTTAGGCTAAATAAAAAAAGAGGCAATGTTGTCAACTTACAGCGGTCAATCTTAACAAATTCACACCCGACAGATTAGATTAATTAGCTAGATATAGTCCGTGTTGCCGAGAAAGGTTAGTTTTAGATCAGGCTAAAGGCTAAACTTCCAAAATGCTGCGGTTTAGTCTCGCGGGAGACGCTCGCTTGTCTACCTAACATTAGAGATTTCCTGACCATTAAGGCCCGTACTGACAGGTGGAGCAAAACATGGCCTGTTTTCTCCTTTACCTTCTCTTTCAGCACTGAGTCAGTGAGTGCGTTTACATGCATTTAATAATCCGACAACGGCAGAAAGTCAGACTTGGTCAGTAATCCGTTCCACGCGTTTATATGCACTTGAGTAATGAAATAATGGGAAATTCCGAGTCTACATGAGTCAGATAGTAATCGGATTTCTGCTTTGCAGTAAAAAAAAGTTGGACAGTAAACTCACAGAAGAAGACATAACGTAAACGTGATGCGAAACTCAAACCATCGCGCCACATTACCTGAACTCAAATCATCGCGCCACATTACCTGAAAATATGAACACTCATCGTCTAGAACAGGGGTGTCACACTCAACCAGTAAAAGGGTTTTATTTCATTTTTAAGTAATGTTGTGCTATAACCCGAATTGGCGAATGTTTACTCAAAATACGCAAAAACGTCAACAGTAAAATATAGGCACTTGCAGTAGACCTAGAAATATTACATGAATTACTGCTTGCTTATTTCCGGTACCGCCGTCTGTTTTCACACATGCGCAGACTGAGAAATCCGAAAGAAATCTGAGTAAGCCCTTACATGCACTGAGAAATCCTCATCCTTAAGCTAAAATGCAGCTCTCTTTAGACCTTACTCCGATCTAAGAAATCAGAGTATCACCATCTGAATAATCAGATACCTGCAGAAATCTGATTGTGAGTACTGAGTGCATGTAAACACACTCAGTGACTTCTTTTCTCAAAGGTATTGACCTACTATGTCGAAATAACTATAGCATCTCGCAAAAAAACTTTTCAATTTTTATTTTATTACTCATCATTTCAACATAGTATCTCAATTTCAAGAAAATAAGTCAGTATTTTAGGAAAATAAGTCATGATGAATATTTAGAGATACTTAGTCAATAATTTGACTTAGTAACAGAGACGAAGGTAAAAACTACATTTTTTTTCCTCCTCTACCTGGCGGGAATTGGCTTCCACTGATTCACAAATTTTCAGGTGTGGTGATTTTTCAATTCTGAGGTCAAGATTCAATTTGATTTTCTATGTTTCAAAAAAGAACACAAATAAAAAGACTACTGAGAGAATTTAAAAGCGACTTAGAGAAAAAGTGCAGTCATCTGAAAAGCAGTCGTTTGAATAGTGTAGGCCCTCCCCTCTTCATCACCTTTGATAGGATGAACCCAGATGCTTGGTATTGATCACTGACAGTGATTTTAGTGAAAGATGGCGAATGAAAGAATAATGCAATAAATTTCCATATACTGTTTTATTCATTTTTTCAGGTTCTTGTGCTAACAATAGTGGAGTAGGTGATATTTCTTTAACTTTGGTGTTAAGACAGCCAGAATAAAAGCTTTAATGAGATCTAGGCCTACTTTAGCCTGGAGTTACAGGGGAATTTCCATTTTTCAAAATTTTCCAATAATGCAGTCATTAAGATGTAAACAAAGTCTTTCAGAGTGTCTTGATGTGAAATGGTTAATTGTAGAGAAAATCACTGACTCAGATTTCTTCACCATGGTGGTGATAGGAACCAGGGGTCTTAGTGTCTGCAACGCAATGTATATCCATTTTATGCACTGTTCAAAACAACAACCAGTGAACGTACACACTTTTTGGCTTTTTGAATAAGGCACAATACAATGCAGCCAATTAGAACAGAGATAATTTACATCAGTCTTAAAGGCGGAGTAACAAAAATATTTTTTTTTGTGTAAGAGATAAAAAAAAAGTTGGAAAATGGTCATGTAAAATGGTTGGTTCTGGTATATTAAACCATACAGACCTCATACGTGAACCTCAGAGGAAAGAAAACACAAAAGAATGTTATGGTCCCTTCAAGTATATACGATTGCAAGGAAAGGAGTTAACTGTTTTTTTGGACATAGTCCTCCAGATGTAGTTCCAAAAAAAGTTGGGGCAGTATGTGAAATGCTAATGAAAGCAGAAAGCAGTTATTCATAAATTCACTTTGACCTCTATTTGAACAAAAACAGTACAAAGATAAATAATGTTTTACCTTACTACCTTACTAGTCTCAGGGAATCCAAAGAAATCTCTGTGCATAGAGGGCAATGAATGGAAAAGACCATCCAGGCTGTTACCAGCCAAGTTCAAAAGCCAGCGTCTGTCATAGCTTGGGGGTATTAGTTGGCAACTTGCATATCTGCATCATTAAAGCTTAGCACATTTTGAGCAACATATTCTGCCTTCTAGGTACTCTCTTTTTCAGGGACATTCATGCTTATTTCAACATGACAACATAAAGCTACATTCTGCATGTGTTACAACAGCATGGCTGTGTAATCAGAGCATGTGGGTGCTAGACTGGCCTGCTCCAGACCTGTCTCCTATTAAAAATGTGTACAAAACACAACAATGAAAGACCCGTACGATTGCACAGCTGAAGACTTTTATAACAGTATATTTCAAAAGGGCATATATTAACAAAAATCAATGACATTCATAAAGTAAAACATCATATATTATGTTATATACCGTTCTCAATTTAGTACACACTCTCAGAAAAACTGTTACAGGGATGGTACCCTCATACCATAGGGAACATTATTGTACCATAATCTATTGAAATTATATTGTCTAAGTTGTATTGACTCCACTCTCCCCGTCTCGTCTCCAGTCTTATTTTATTGTTCTGCTTTAAAACGTTATGAAAGATTACGAAAAGTACAACTGTGTACTTTTCCACTGCGAAAAACTTATTTAAGGTAAGCGACTGGACCTCAAAACCACTGTTGTACCTTTGAGGGTACATTTACATTGCTTGTACCTTGATGAACGGGAAACATACCTGCAAAGAACCTTTACTTCTAACATTGCATTTCACATACATCTTTTTGGAATTGGGTTTGTAGGAATAAACCATGAATTTGATGTAAAGTCCTCTATTATGGCTTAACTGCAATATTGAAAGTTCAGCATTGAAAAGTTTTGTAACAGGTCCGTTCAGAAATTATGCAATACTCAATAGTCTATATATGCTAGTCTGTGTACACCACCCCCTTGATGCAGTCTTATTTGACCTCCAACAGTGAGAAAGTGCATCTGGAACACCTGCTTCACTAACTAGGTGTAGACCCCAGAGCCTGAAGGCCGAGCAGCCAGTTTTGTTTGTTCGCAGAATGACAGAATCCACTAAAAGGTCAGAGCTCTTCCTCAGGTACACTAGTGCAGGCAGCCACTGATTCCATTATTGACAGAAAATAGAATTAGTTTCACCCAGCTGGCCATGAAGTGCACCCTTCGCTCCCCCGCACCACCACATCCACACCAGCCACTTAAATACGCAACGAGACTTCTGCTTCAAGGCAAGCCTTACCTGCTCTCTGCTTTCAGCGTTCCTCTAATGGATGCTTCATTGTGTGATGAACTTTGATCTTAGATGAAAGAAATTCATTTCCCTTCCATCTAATGGCACTCTATAAAGCAAAATAGCAGAAATCGGTGAAAAATCTGCTCTGGAGATTTCTCTTTGCTCTTTTAAGTTTGGAAACATAAAGCTATAGTCTAATATTGACCCAATCGAATCGCAATCAAGAGAAAATGATAACCGCTCATTGTTAGGTTTGATTTTATTCAGCGAAGCATGTGCCTACAGAATTTTACAAAGAGCACACATAACAGTAGGATTGTCTTCTTACAAACCGGTCAGCAGGTAGGACATTTACAACCATGCAACAAGACAAGTGAAGGAATTGCAATGGCGTCACAGTCGGAACCTTACGAGAAGGGAATCTGGTCAATTGCGTGTCCTTCAGCTCTTAAAATCTACAGGAGGGCCATCCACCGTCTGTGTACATCATTAGTACATTTTACTCAATGTCCCAAAATTAAAGGGAACAAAGGGGGCAGATCAATATGATCCGAGCTACAGGCAGCATCCATGGAACCCGTTTGAGAATTTTCATTGTGTTCCAGTGAAAGCAAACAGTAAAGAAATCATTACATCTGTCATTCTTGCTTGTGTGGTTTGCTAGATTTTACATGATCTAACCTCATTTTCTGGATCTGGATTACAAGTATTACAAACCCATGAGACGCCCACAAATGTGTTCTTTTGTCAGAACGGCTACATCGTTGGACAAACGTTTGAGAACGCTGACCAAAATCCCATTCAAGCTATTTATTTAGAATGGCGACATAACATTGAGCTTCCAGGTTAAAATGCTACTCTACTGAGCTGGACTATGTTGTTGTAGTTAATCGAAAAGAAAGCAGGTTGTAAAAGACTAATGTTAGCTTGATTACACAACAAATACTATATTTAATCTTTCATAACAGTGTAACCTTCCACATGCATACAAAATAAATATCATTTAAAAGTAATAATGCAAAACATTCCTGTCCAGGGTGTTTCCTGCCTTCCCCCCAAGTGAACACTAGGAACGCTGCTCTAGCACCCCCCACAACCCAGGAGGACAAAAAGCGGCTTAGATGATGAGTGACCATTTAAATTTAAGTCTTTCAACAAAAACTGCAATTTCTTATTAGGTTAAAGCTGCACCACGCAAGATTTTGTTGTTTAAAAAAAGTGGCATTACAGAGACAGGAGGAAAGAAAACTCACTTAAGTCAGATTTTGCACAAGCTCTATGGATTCACATCACACACACGGGCTCAAAAAGGTCTAGCTCGATGTTTGGGTCTCAAATGTAAAAATGTTATACAGATGTATAGACATGAGGACAATAGTAATTCACTTACATCCTCAGAAGACAAGTCCTTCACCAAATTCTGAGTTCTCTTTGAATACTCTTTCAACATGCTTGCATTTATCAGATTGCATGTTGCGTGCAATTACACATTTCCACCAGATCCCCAAAGATTAGATAATGTAGCTTTACGCAGGACTTGGACCATCGCTCTAAAGATTGCACAACCTAGCTACTGTAGCTTCTAAAGAACACATTTGTGGGCAGAGTGTAGACAGGTCAAGTCAAATCGAAAACTCCTGATACAAAACTAAAATGAATTCAGCAAAGGCGTATATGCCTTTGCATCGTCATCATAAAACTGAGCAGCTTTTAAATAAGACAAAGCCAGGAACATAAGCATGGCAACAGCACTCTCTTAAAAAACAAAAAAAAGGATATATTGCTTTTCTGAAACACATAGTGAGCACATCCGTAACTATAACCAGTCCTTATCCTGATGGTCAATACGTACTCCCTTGCAAAGCACAATTTCTCTCAACTACTGGCAAATTAAGTAATGCTCAGTTTTAAGCATAACACCACAGTAAAAGCATTTCTCCACTGTATCCAGTCATACCACAGCAGAGAGCAGGCTGATTCGAGCTGTTATTGTTTCTGACATGTAGTTAGAGATGAAATGGGCAATGTGTGGATAAGAGAAAAGTTTATTTCAACTTGAATTGATTACATCAGGACAGCTGAGGGAAAAGCTCATTAAGACTCCTTAAGCATTCCTCAAAGTGTTCTAAAATGGACATGCTATTTACATGGGTGATGCAGCTGACTAGTGCAAAGGCACGTTAGTGGTTTGATGTCGCCGTGTTATGTGCTAATGAAGGGCTAGGTCAAGAGATGGAAGAAGCAACAATAGCCTAGATCAGACAAAAAGGACTATTGTCTGGGTGAAGCATTGAAACGGTGCACATGAATCCAGTTTGGACAGCCACAAAAACGGATCCTTGTAAATGTGAGGCGGATTTACATATAAACAGCAATGTGAGCATAAAACCTGACTCAGAGGAGAATGAGAGAACATTAAGGCAGTTTGTTTGCAGGCAAAAACGGAACAATCGAAATAGTGAGGCAAAAATGAAAGGGTGAAGTTATGGAGGCAAATGTACTTAAGATACTACATTTCATCTCTGAGAATGTCAAGCTGATATAACTGCACTGAAAAAAATGATCTGAATGGAAAGCAAACATCTGATATGTCCTGGAATGATACAACATTTGGTATGGAAAGGGAGGTAAAACAGCAGAGGCTTTATATTAGGTAACTTAACTGAGCTGAAAATAAAATGGGGGAAAAAAAAAACTAAATAAAAAGTTGCAGGTCTTCGAAGCAATTGACAACACCCAGTGTTAAAACACAGAACGCAGAATGTAGGAAATCCAATGCATTTGAGAGATGTATTAAACCTGTCAAAGAGAGCTGTTTTCTTCTCAAAAATAAAAAGGAGAAATAAGGTCCGAGGTAAAGAGATTATAAATGATAAAAGAACTTAAAATTACAGTAATTTTTACATCACATTTCAAATCAGATGATAACTGTACAAGTGATTTTTATGCTGCACTACGCCGGTTAATTCTGCTGTAGTTTTAAAAGTACATTCACTCATTCAGTGTTCCAGTATAATCAAAGTGAAATATAAAAGAGAGGTAAACCCAAAGTGATGAATCATTGCCAGTGAAGTATTCCTTACTTTGTACACAATAAATCAATCACAAAGTCATCCAACAACAAATGACATTTGAGCTACTTACAATCAAAACATTCAGTTATACCCGATGGATCACAAACCAGACAAATCATCAACCAATCCAAACATCATCCTGTTTTTCGGGTCTTGGTCTCTTTTACAGTTCGTTTTATATAATGAGGAAGGACCCTTGCATCTTTTGATAACTAGGTAGCATGTATGCACACTTTGGGTGTACAACAAAAAGGCAAAAATCAGTGGGGAAGTCAAATTATGTGACATGGTCCTCCAAAAACCAACAAAAACAAAAATTCCAGACCATAATATTTATAATGAGTCTGCTGGCCTACTCTCCTACTAGAATCAAATATCACCTTCCAGAGCCAAAGAGCAGACACTAGTCCAAGCCATATCTGATAAACGCCACTGAAGATCCTTCATGAAGGAACGACAAAAGACACGAGGGCAAACGAGAAGGCAAAGAAAAAATAAACAAAACAACAGTCCGTCCTCTCCAAGGAAAGCCATGGCTGATCACCACAAGAGACGTCACAGGTAGCCATGACTTTCTGCATGCGACCAGCAAAAAAGGTGCAGAAAAATCAAACATGACACTGGATGATGATAATATGTGGAAGTGCTGTTGCCCATCCCGCCATACTTCTCTATTCTCAGATGATATTGCGTGGGGAGGACTTGGACATGGATGGCACATGGGGAAAGGGAGGATTTAGGCAGAGTGCTTCTGTACTGAATTTAAGGGTCCTACAAATATTTACACAGTAGACACAGGCACTTGAAAGTCTTTGGTTGGAGTGACCCAACGTTGCAGAGATTCGCATTACAGAGTTTTTGCACCCATCTCCAGGGTTCAGTAGGCAACAAGTATTTTTCTTTCCCACCCCTATTTCTGATATGGTTCAGTTCAGATGCGCCCCTCTACTGCTGATATGGTTCAGTCCGTATGTCTACCTTTGACCCCGCTTATCCCTCTGACAAGGCCACCTGAAAAAGACAGACAGGTTAAGCATGTAACAAAGTGTTTTTATATTGAATGTGAGCCACAGCTTTCATAATAGACACTGTATAACTGGTACACAACCCAAATGTAATCTACTACAGAACACGGCAGACAGGATTAAACAGCCTTAGCTCTGACACATTTGTGTTTTTGTCATTTATTGATAAAAGAATGTGTCCTACCTTTTCTGGACAGAAATCTGGGTTGGTCTGTCTTACTTTGCCAGGTCTGCCTTTGATGACTGCATAGCAGAACATTGTAATCACCATCACAAACAGGAAGTAGCTGGTGTGCATTAGGTGCAGGTTGATGAGGGAGCGATCATCCTGTCAAAGGAAAGAAAACACTCCTCAGCTCAGCAATATTTATAAGCAGGGGCAGACAAATATACAAATCTGCACTGGGCACTCAGGCCACCAAGCCAAAGAATCTTCTGGCCAGAATAACAAAAACATAACTATATACTTTGTATTCACAAGTAATAAGCATGCTTCAGTACAAAAAAAAACAAAAAACAATCAGTCAGGTGTTGCTTTGAAAAGTTCTATGAAAAGAAAATTTTGAAATCTGTGACAAACGTGCATTTGGGACATGCTGCTGGTGTGGGTTCATGTTTCTTCTCCTTAAATGATGCACACAAAAGCGACATGTGCGGCAATAGCTTACCTTGTGGTAAAACCTCACACTGCTAAACACGTGCGAGTGTGTGAGCGTCTTCTAATGTGAAGATTTTTAAAGCAACATCTAACTGGTTTTTGGCACTGAGCCATGTTTGTTAATTGGCTTGGTGGTCTGAATTGGTAGTGCAAATTTTTTCTCTCTCTACACCTGTAATGGGGACATTATGCAATATAAAAGTCTGAAAAGGCCATCAGCAAGCCTGCAATTCAATGTCCCATTTCATATATAGCTATAAACAACAAATTAATATGTTCAGAATTTCCTTTGAGTTTTTGAGTTTGCACTCACGTCTGGAACGATGACAGTGAGTTTGGGGTTCAGAGCGTGGTACACCTTCCCAATGGCACCTTTGTAACACCAAAACGGATTGTAGTCCTGTGTGTATTTGGTGTCCGAGTCCCGTGCTGTGGTGAAGATTTTGTACCAGGATGTCGCGTTGCTGTACGTCTCTGGAACACAGTGGGGTGGCTGCCTGGAGGGGGAAACGAGGTTTGAATCAAGGTTTGATTCAGAATGAGAGAACTGAGTAAATAAATAAACATAAATAAATAAATAATTAAAAAAAAGAATGCCTTCAAATATTTGCCTGTTGTCAACTTGCACTTTAATGATCTGAGGCTTAGCAATGTACAACATGAACAGCTTACTTCTCACTTTTATGTCAAAAGGATCTTCTAGACTATTCTCCTTTTATTTAGTTTTGACTTGATCTTGACAGACACAATGACAACGACTCAACTATTCAATAGACACCAGCCTACGAGACTTTGCTGAATCAACAGCATAAAGCCATGTCAATATTTGAGGAAACTGACAGGACAATACAGAACAAATAAAGGCTTGGTTAACAATGATGAAGACCTGCAGCACATAGAGTTTAAAACAACTCACACTGTGACAGGGAAGACGTTACTGGCTGCAGTAATGGTCATGCAAGTGCTGAAGACCACCTGCTCACAATGACCGTGCAGCACACATTCATCAGAGTTCCAGGATGCAGGCAGAGTGAAGGTGATGTTCATCTCTTCGTGGGCTTCCCTGCCTGCACACACACAAAAAAAAACATACATGCACAGCAGAATCATTGAAAAGCTCTGTAAAGGCAGCATGCAAGTTACATCTATAAGGCAATCAGCTTTAGTCAGCGCGTTTGTTTACAAAGCACCACTGTTTTACTTGGACTGCACTTCACCCATGTAAAAAATGTCAATACCTGATCCTATTGGCATTTACTACAAAGAAAATGTTACTATGCTGTTCTATTCCACACAAAAAGCACACTGTTTCGCTATCACTGATTAACAAGACCGCACTAAGGGGAAAAAAAAGAAAAGAAAAAAGGGGAGGGGGGGGCTCTCCAGTTCAAAACTCCACATGATGTAACACTGTGAAAATAACCAGTGGGGAGAAAATAAAAAAAATGACCACCTGGCTTCCACTTCTTATCATTTGGTGTATATGCATGTTTGGTTACACAGTTTTAAACAAACTCCCATTCCCCCTTAAGAAAGCCCCTTCACACTTTTACTTAGCGCTTTTTTTTAAAATCACCTGTCTGTAAAGTACTTTGAGCAGCTGCGGTATAAAAAGTGCTCTATAAATAGTGTTGCATCAACAAAGTACAGTAAAAATAGTAGTAGAAACAGTTAATAAAGCAACAGTAAAGGATGATATAATGGCTGGATTTCATTTACATGAATGGCTGAATCAGGCTTTTTCAGTAATCATTCTCCCACTTTGTGATCAGTCTGACAGTCTGAGGTAACGTTAGTCCAGGTTGTTACTTAGGGAACGGACATTAGAAAGACATAATGAATAAACTGCCAGTCTCTTGGGGTAACAACAGCTTTAAGCCTAGGGTCTGACTTTAGCATGGCAGCCTGCTAGCTGGGCTAGTGCACCCATCAATCAGCTGAAACCCACAACAATGTGCTTTCAGTAGGTAATATACAAAGTCATATGAAAAATTTTGAACATCCCTGGTCAAATTACGTTTTGCTGATTTTCTAAGTGCATCTACAGAGAACAAACTTAAACAATTACATTTTACATTTTACTCAGCATTTACTTGCTGAGTTTATCATATTAAACGTAAAATTTAAGCCATAAAACTAACGTTTAATTTCTGCAAACAAACCAGTAATGGTGCATTAAAATCTGCTTAGAAAATCAACAAATCATGTAATTTGACTAGGGATGCCCAAACGTGCCTACGACTGTATCATTCACAATGCCCATCAAGTAGTTAGGTTAGATCTAGGTTAGGTAAAAGGTAAGCTAGTATCAGTGCCAGTGCTCTGTTTTTGCAGGAAAAAAGTGGTATCGCTGCACCCTAATGTTATTACCGTTGTTATTATTATTATTACTATTATTATTATTATTATTACCAGCCAAACCAACTTGCTGCCCAATCACGCTGGCATAGAGGTGGGTGATGTTGCGTGAATAGCCCCCGAATGGCCTCAGGGGGTCCAAGGTGAGCGTGATAGGGACAGAGATGTTGATGGGGCCAGGGTCCTCTAGCAGCAGAGGGGCCTGAGTACTGGAACGTGACTGGCTGCTGGTCACCGTGCTCTCTGGAGTTGTGGACTCGTTCAGGCCATGCTTCAGCGTCTCGTTCTCGGAGATGCAGAAGTCCAGCTCATTGAAGCGAAGAAGGAATGTGTTCCAGTCCTGAATAAGAATTATAGATGCACTAATTATGGAATTTCCAGGCCAATAACACTAACAGATAATTAGCACCTCACTGTAGTCATTAACAATGTTGACTTTTCTGCATCTTAAGCAAACTCACACTATAATCCATACATGAAGTACTAAAGAGGGAAGCGTTGGTATGTGTAGCAGTATTTGCAGGAGCACCAGTGGGTCATTAAATTATTGACTATTACGGGCTGTAATTCCATTATTGGACCAGTAATAATTACTATGTTTTCTCATTCATTAGTGAATAATGTATTAGCTGCCTAGTCTTTAAATAATATGTCACCCCTAATTATTCAAGGTTAGTCTTTGCTCAGCAAAAATAGTTCTGTGAATTCTGTTTTTATAGTAGGTTTGTATAGTAGTAAGTTATGGGTTACACTGCAAGGGCTGGTAATAGACTGAATGTTAACTCTTATCAGCAAACTGTAACTGTTTAATACAAACTACCAAAAAGTTCAGATCGATTTGTTTACCTACTTATTTATTAACCAAGAAGATCATTAATATTTCATCTGCTCTTTACAACATTCTGTCTTTTGTGACTGAATACAGCTGGATGTTCCTGCCTCCTGGGTTAAAGTCTTTATTAATTAATCTGTGACATGTGCATACTTTGTTCCACATTCAAAATAAAATTATTAACAAACAAACATCTGAATAAATGAAAACAGCCTCCTACCTCTGTCATTTCAGGTGATTTAATCTCCTTGATCTTGAAGAAATATCCAATTGTGAGGAAAGTGATGGCCACAGCACTGACACTGACCATAAATATGACCAGCGGTGGACGGTTACTTATGTAGGTCTTCAGGTTCTCCAGAGGATTTAATAAGAACACCTGCACACAGGAAAAATGACTATTTCAGATTGAACTTAAATAAAACCCTAAGACTTTTCTGTTGACAAAGAAATGTTTACATTTCTGTTGTTCATGCAACAGTAAAACTGTGATTATAAATGCATGCTCATCAGCAGCTCCGAATAGATTAATTATGTAGGACACGTAACACGACTGTCTATGTGGCAATAATCAAGGTAAGAACACAAACCCATATATTCTATATGGAATACAGTAACTGAACATCATGTGAAAGCGACAGATGCACAACACAGGACAGGGATCACGCTAAAGATGCTTAAAGCTCAATGCAATGAAAATCCTACAAACATCAACAAAAAAACCCTCCTGTTGGACTGTCGGAATGACTGACTTGACACAAATAACAAATGTAGCGCAAGATACTGATACTGATCAGTGCATCAGTAATAAGCACTGTTTCTTGCATAATGTTTTATTCCATAACATTGCTTAGATGTTTGGATATATGCTGCCTGATGTCTAGCATTTTTTCATCAAGGTTTAAGCTTCAAATGTATTTTAATTGTTTCAGAATAAGATTTAATCTTGAAATGTATTTAATCCATGTATTTTAATCCACTCATGGTGGAGGGATACATGCAGGGCTTTATAAGGTAAAATAGTCCTCAAAGAAAAAATATGTTTTCAGATTTATCACTATTGTACCATTAACAACATTACATTTTGATAAAACAGTTTAAAAACTATAAATAAATGAGTCTAGTTTTCAACACTTTGTCATTTTGAGAGAAGAAAACAGACCAAAACAAGTTCTGTTAAATTTGTAAGAATCCAGAGTAGCAGTAGTCAGGAAGTATCAGTTCAATAACTGTACGAATGTAAACTTATTCACTTTATTAATGCTAACTTACATATTAACAGATAACATGATATATTTGGGATATACTGCATTACTGAAACGGTTTAATATTACCCAGACCTACATAAAAGGCATTTGTTATTAAAGAATACCCTGGATATTCATGGACAGACAAAAGGGATTTGAAATGGCAAATTCCACTGCAGACCTGAAAGCAACTGACTTGCTGATTTTTCAAAGATACTACATAATTAAATGGTTGGGATGTAAACAAAGTCATTCAGAGTGGTTCTGATGAGAAATGCTCTGTTCTAGAGAAACATACAGGAACCAGACATCTGAAGAGTTTAATGCCTCTGAATCCCTCACAGACAGTTATTACAAGAAATGGTTTCATATATGCTGCCTGATGTCTGCGATTTTGTGTTATGACAGTTTTGTGATAAGCTTTTGGCTTAAAATGTACTTTAATCCATTTATTTTAATCCATACATGGTGGAAGGGTACATGCAATGCACTGCGAGGCAAAACAGTCCTCAAAGAAAACTTATATTCTATTTTACTATAAACTTTGCATATAAAACCACAGGAGCCACGTGTAGGTTCACTGGCACCTTTGAATAGTAATAAAATGGCTATATTTGCGTTGCAGACATGGCGACCCCCGGTTCCTATCACCACCACTGTAAAGAAACCTGAGTCTGTAATGAGCCACTTCACATCAAACCACTCTGAACGACTCTGTTTACATCTCAAGAACTGAATTACTCAGAATTTTTTAAAAACTGGTGGAATTCCCCTTTAAAACCCCAGCAGCATGTTTCCAATCCAGAGGTCTTCACATCCAGACCATGAATCCACTTTCCAATTCTGTATTTTGTAATCAATGGTAGTTAACTGAACTGTTGATGTAACTGACTGGCCACCCAGTGTCACACCTACCACTGACAGCAAAACCCAGAACCGAGAACTGGATTCAAGGTCCAGATCTGAAGACCTGGATCCTTCTAATTTCCCTCAGTTTGCATAAGCAAAACACTGCTACGTCACGACTGTCTGACCTGGTCCATTTCAAACTAAAGTCAGCCTTTCCAGACAATATAGGCCTTGGATGTTAACCGGAAGGACCTTGCCTTCTGAAAAGCTTGTGGACATCTCCGCATTCTCTTACCCTTCGGAGCAATGAGGAAAACTATCAGAACTGCAGCTAGTCACCGACGTTGACTGCCTAAGAATCAGTCAATGTCACACACTCACACACGCCGCACTCATGTCAGACAAGCCTTGTGAGAAATTCTCCTGACCAAGACAAATAATTATGCACGTATTCACAATTAATTCATGCATTTATTATCCTCATTTGGACATTTGGTCCAGGCTTCCTGTCAGAGACGCGTTTCTGCGTGCAGAGTTCTAGCGAGAACTTCTAGAAGCGTTCATGCTGAGCCAGGCAGATGACCCAATGCAGAATATTTTGATGGAATGGCTAAAAAGTATAGCTGCACGGCTATATCGGCTTATTTATGTATACACGTTTAACGACTTTTAGGGGAAACAGAACCCAAAAGCACTAAACTAGCCTGTAATAAAGTACTGTGGACTCGGCCAGCTGACATGCTACGCAGCTGTAAAGTTAGCATGTGGCTAACGTTGCTCCATGGCAATGCTGAAATTTAACGTAACTATCCATTACAATTTTAATAACACAAGCACGTTTTAACACTAAGTTCTGATGCTCTTACAACTATTATAGCCTCTACATCCAAAGCAGACAGGACACCGTGCTTTTATGCTGGGTTAGCCTTTTTTAGCTTTAGCTGTCTGACCCAAGTTGCAGCTATACTAGCGTTCCTAGTAGCTAGCTAGCTAGTTAGCCACCTTAAAAGCTCAAATATTGAAAAAATACCTGTGAAGACACGCAGCGAAACTCAGCTGGGTTACCGAAACAAATGTGTGACATGACAAAAACTGAAATTAATCGCTAAACTCACCATTTTGGCGGTGTGTTAGCAGGGCGAGTGCAAGCGGGCGGCGGGCAGACAGAGCTAGCAGGCTCCAGTCGCTGATCCAGACGGACTAACGGAGCGAGGAAAGACCGGGGCTGGGGGATAGGCAGGGCGAGCGACGGTACAGGAGCTGCGTAAACTCCTTCCCATTATTTGCCGGTCCCTGTCAACTCTGAAAAGCGACGAGTGAGTTTGCTTTTTTGAATAACTTACAACGAGCAGCTGGGTTGCTCAAAATGCTAGCGCTCTCTAACTACGACGTATCGCTCGTCACTGTTTACCACAAACCGCAGGCTGTAGCCGTAGCGCTATCAGACTCGAGAACGAATCGTTCGTTTTGGATGCCTCTTTTCAATGAATCAGAAGAGTCGACTCACCAGCCCAACTCACATTTGTAGAATGCCTAACATGGGTCTCGGGCTCAAATTAAAGGGGAATTCCACCACTTTTCAAAATGTCTAAATAATTTAGTGCTTGAGATGTAAACAGATTCAGAGTGGTTTGATGTGAAGTGTTTCATTGTAGAGAATAATGTTCATAATGGTAAAATAGTCATACATCCTGTGTGTACCCCTCTGTCATGAATGGATTAAAATAAATGGATTCAAATACATTTCAAGCCAAAACTTTGACACAAACCTATCATAAAACAACATCTCAGAAATCAGGCGGCATATATCAAATTATTTCATGTAATAACTTTATGTGGAAGAGCTTTTAGAGGTGGACATCTGGTTCCTGTGAGCAATTCTGACTCTGTTTTTCTAGAACAGAGCATTTCACACCAAACCACTCTGAATGAGTCTGTTTACATCTCAATAATTTAATTATGTATAATTTTTGAAGAATTCTAATTAAAATATAGGGCACTAGTTATGTGGTCTTCTCAAAGTAGGAGCCTGGCTGTAGGTTTTGAAAGCCACAGTGGCACATGTGTATCTTTGTTGTAGCCAAGCAGTTTGTGATTATAGATAAATGCAAAATACAGGAAATACAATTATTGGGGTGGCAGTATTTAAGGATCAATTTTAAACATGTGAGACATGTGAGGCTGTCTTTCAGGCCAGATGTGGGCCCCTGGCCAGTAGAGACCCCTGAAATGTTCACATCCTGAAGATTAAATAATAAAATTCAAATAATAATCTTTTAAAAACAAGGAATAAAATTGAAATGGTGATAGCAGGGTCACTAGCTTAATAAAAAATAATCTTGCATATAAGCAAAGCCACAGAGAATAAAGGTGACTTGACTTTTGAATCAATGAATCGTTTTATCAGATGTTCGATGCATTGAAACGGACAGTTTGAAAGAATCGGTTCTATAGCATTCGCGTCATCCTATTGGGGGCGGGCTTCGCCCTGGACACTTGTTTTAATTGGCTCAAACACATCAAATCCAAGTTCGATTGGTAGACATATCTGTCAATCTCAGTACCTCCGTTTGACTATGAACATAAGGCGCCAGTAGGTCGTCAGTGGTGTGGCGGATCTTCAGTGGAGTCTGATTAAAATGAAACGAACGACTTTGTAATAGTCTTACGTATGAATTGTGCCCAGACCAAGCGATGTAAAAGTACGACAGGTGAGCGGTTTACTGTGCATTTTTAGTCAAACATCTTTGGAGAATATCACAGTTACCGTGAACTTACAGCTAGGCTGTAGTTAGCTAGCTAGCTAAATGCCTCTGCTCCTGCTTGTTTGCTAGCTAGGTTAACTAGCTGTGCGGTTTACCTCAATAAACAAAATATAAACAAAAAATAAATGTTGTTTTTCAGCTATTTGCCTTAACTGTGCCATTTAGCTGCCTCAGTTACACGTCGACTAAATGTTATTGTTATTTTTCAGCTGATGTTTGCCTTAACTATGCGGGTTACTTCAGTAAACGTCAACTAAATGTTGTATTGTTGTTTTTCAGCAGATGTTTGCCTGAACTCTACCTCAAAGGTGTCATGGTGCTTTTAAGAGAAGGCCTGTGTCCGGGGTTGAGTGTGGATATGGTCAAAGCTCTACAGACAGAAGACATTAGAACAGGTACAACACAAAACATTGATTAATGGCAGTTTTAGTTGATTCAGCTGTCACTCAGCCTGAGCACATACTGAACAAAACATTTATTTTTACAGTTGAGGACCTCGTCTCATCTGACTCGGAAGAACTGGCACAGAAATGTTCATTGTCTTATAAGGTTTGTAGCTCGGTTACACCACACACATGCACTCTACTGTTTATTGAGAAGTGAACAGTTTATTTGTATATATACAGTCAGTGGAAACACATATTCTGACATTTTTCTTCTTGTCCCGTACGGAAATATCGGACATAAATGCATAATATATATGATTTATATAGTCTGATGTATGGTTGAATACATCCCAGTACAGTTATACTTGTTACTATATTTACTGTTTGTTTTTTAATATTAAATTTTTTGAATGTGTCAGGGAACAAAACTTTCATTTACTTCATGTGTAAATTATTTTATTATTTTAAGTTAAGTACTTAATAATTAACATTTAACAATAATAAGTATCAATTATATATATATAAGTATCATAATCAGTATCAAAAAACTAGATGATACTTCTCATCCATGATACTTCAGTAACAGTATTCTGTATCTTTTCAGGCTTTGGTGGCTGTTCGGCGGGTGCTTCTGGCTCAGCACACAGCATTCCCTGTGTCAGGAGCAGATCTGTACGAGGAGCTGCTGAGCTCCACTTCTATCCTCTCCACAGGAAATCCCAGGTGATGACATTCAGACACATTAATGTCTTAAATATAGACAGAAGTGAGTGACTGCTAGGTAGTAGGGCAAGATACAGATGAAAATTAAGTGCTGTCACTGCCAATTGTGTTAGCTGTCGTGTAATTTACTGATTATTTTGATGAGTGATAAAATAATCCGTGGCCAAACAATAAAAATGGACTTGAAGGAACAATAGCAAACCGTGCACAGCCTTTCAGAATACTTAATTGGATGGGTGTGTGAATCAGGCTGTTTCTTACTGTAAGAGAATGTAAAATATGTATATTGCTAATCACTGCAGATTCAATTTATTCACCAAAATGTAATTGTTGTTGTTGCTGTTGTTGTTGTTATTATTATTATTACTTAAAAATCAAGTAATTATGACAGTCCTCATTATATTGTGATTTATGGTTATATTTAGTAATACAGCTTAAAATTGGAAAACTATGTGTAGATAGCCTACAAGTGACAGCATTCCAGAATGAGTGCACATTTTTAAGACCATGTGAATTATTCATTCATTGAAACACAAATTGGGAACAGATGTTAATGGAAATTTTTGAGACTTGTGATTTGTTACAGCGCCCATTTGCTGAGCTCTATCAGCTAACTACAGATGTCATTTTGAGACACGGTTTTAGCTGTGTCAGTGACACTGTTCTCACAGCATTCTGAGGAGCATTACAGCATGCAATATATCGTGCAGTGCTAGCATGATTTTGTGGTCCTGTATGTAAATGAAGGATTTGAGGATGGTTCATGTCATACCTCTTGAATACTGTGGAGAAATTAGACTGGAAAGTCATTGTCTAAATCAATGCTTATTAATCTTACAATCACACTAATTAAGACACTCATCTGGAGATGAAATTGATTGTTATACAAGAAGCTGTTGCAAATGACCCCATGCCTCAACCCAAGTTCTTTCACAACAATACTTTTTAAAAAAATTTCCAATAAGATAAAAAGGAAGTGAATTTTTCTGGTGTTGAGATTTAATAGTTAATTAATATTCTGATGATGTTAATGTTATTTTGAATATTTTGCAAAAAAAAACTCTCAAAAAAATCTAAAAAAGAAACAAAACATCTTAAGCCTACATAACAAATAACAGGTAGGGATAATAATAGATGCCTCAATAATGTTTACTTTAAAATCCTTATAGTCATTAAAAATGTTTTACTTCTGCATGTATGCCTATGTACAGCTGTGTTGTAGCGTCTCGAGTTCTAAAGTCTCTCTCTGCAGTGTGGATAAGCTGCTCGACTCTGGCTTGTACACAGGAGAGATCACAGAGCTAGCTGGAGGTCCTGGAACAGGCAAAACGCAGGTGAGATTTAGACAGCACATTATACGTTACAGCAGGTGTGAGGAACTGATGGCTGGAGTTGAGTCCAGTTTGCTGATTTCTCTGCTGACACAACACAGCTTAACCTGGTAATCGACTGCTGAGTTGAGTTCAGGTGTGTTTGAGCAGGAAAGTCACCAAACTGTGCAGGAATCTGGCCCAAGTTCCTCATCTCCTTCAGTAGAGTAAGGCCACATAAATACATAAATCCATCCATGTTCAGAATTTACACATCATAGTCATCCTTGCTTGTAGTCTCGTGAGTGGTCCACAAAAGCCTTTGAAACTACATGGCAACCACTGACGAATTTATCACTTGTCTTTTCATCTTCACCCATCAGATGTGTTTTAGTGTAGCTATTAACATAGCACATGAGCTTAAGCAGAATGTGCTATACATTGACACAACTGGTGGGATGTGCGCTAGCCGGTTGCTTCAGATGCTCCAAGCCAAAACCACCAATACAGTGGAGCAGGTAAGACCTTATCCAGCACTTCAATATTGGATAATCTATACCAATACCATAGTTTCATCTAGTCCAATACCTTCAAAAATGATCACTGAAATAACCTGCAAGTACAATCTTTCCATCGTCTCTATGGTTTACATGCAGATGAATGCGCTTCAGAGGATCAGGGTATTCCGGGTGTTTGATGTGTTCTCCTTGCTGTGCTGTCTCCAAAATCTGAGAGCTAGCGGTCTTCAGAAGGTAAGTGTAATTTCCTTAATTAATTACAGCCCATTGTTAGAGTGAAGCATGCTTACAGCAATACAGCTCACAGTCTGTACAATCAGTGCCTCGTCCAGTCAAGGCATTTGCTGTCTTTTTAAGGGATCTGTTGGAGGAGGTTCAGTTAAGGCAGTGATGGTGGATTCGGTTTCTGCTGTGGTTTCCTGCATGCTTGGAGGAAAACAGAATGAAGGTGGTTATTTCAACAAAACCCTTGATACAGCTACCCATTTCCTAGCCAGTATTGATGTCCTTTTACCTTCAACCAGACATCACAATTTTCTGCAGGTATGTCTTTGATGATGCAGGTTGCTACAGAGCTGAAGATGATTGCCAAAGACTGTAATGTAGCAGTTCTGGTAAGTAACACTACTTGTTCATAATGACTTCATAATGACTTAATAATAACAGTACTGTATCCAGAAATGCTCAAAATAGTGTTAGCATTATGCACAAGTGTCACACTCCTCTCCACCAGCTTTCACTGTTAACCTTATTAGGATTTGTGTATGGACAGTCACTTTAATGAATCATGAGTTTGCACAACACATTGAATGATACTGAAGACATCACTGTTAGGTGACCAACCATGTGACACGGGATGGAAACAGTCAGCTGAAAGCTGGTTTAGGGCAGTCGTGGAGTCACGTTCCGCGCACACGAATTCTCCTGCAGAGAGCTGAGCGGCCTGGGGCACCTACCAGCTTACGGACGGCTACCCTGACCAAATCCTCACGACAGGTCAGTGCTGAGTTGTTAAGAGCACTCCAACAAATTTTGAATGACCCTATTTCCGTTCATATTCAGTGACTACAAGGCATGTGGCATCAATTTATGAATCTTTTTATGTGTGAGTTTATAGAATTCAATTCTTTGCAGATTTATTTTATAATGCCAGTGAACTCTTAAATTAAAATTGGCAGCATGCATTTGAAGCACACTTACAAAGTCCTAGTGAAACATGACATTTGGAAAGATGTTCTCCTTGCAGGGCTAGTGACACAGAACATGTCATTTTCTTTATGCTTTTTCAGCCCTGTTATCTGATGGAGGAATTTGACTTGTGTCAGCAGTCTGCGGAGGAGCCAAAATCTAGGTTTTCAGGGAAGAGAAAACTGGACACTACTGCATAAGAAGCTGCAAAAAAAGTACTTAACTCTAAGAAATTTTTTTTTTGCATAACACGTTCTTGCTTTTATAAAGCACGTTTTGCGTTTATACTACCAAAGTTTTTCAGAATTTGTTTTTAAAGGAATTATTTGAACAATTCTACACAAGTAATAATGCCCTCAATAAACATTTGAGTTTTTGAATGTTGCATTTAGCACAATTAAAGACGCATCTTCATAGATGTACCTATGATGCACTTTTTAGATAACAATACAAACGAGTAGAAAGTCACTAGACCAATACATTCTGAACAACTGAACCCAAGTGTACAAAATACACCGCCTGGCTGGAAAAGACCCAAATGGGTTTTGTAGCATATTTAACTGTGGATGCTGTAAACAACTGCAAAAAGGCAGGAATGTTAAGATTGTATTGTGAAGATGTTTTGCAGAGTCATTGGCCCTTATTTACCAAACTTTTAAGACTAACAAAACTGACCTAGGATCAGATTATGTTTATGTAACACTGAATAAAATTCCATGACCTGATCTTAGATCAGTGCTTATCCTCTGAGATGCTTGATAAATGTGGGCCATTGTTCATACATCCCAAAATATTTTAATTCCAATGTTTCAACAGATGGGTTTCACTGTAAATAAGAATAAAGAAAACAGTTACTGTATATTCATGTTCAAAGCTGTTGCATTCATGCTTTGCCTGATGAGAGACTTTTATTCCCTTCTGTTTAGCTTCATATTGACACCTAAAAAAAATAAGTGATAACACTGCACAAGTTTTAAAAAGTAGGTTTGTTCACATCCATAGTTTTTCAAATGTCCACAAGCAGCCACCAAGCCACTGTTGCCCTACCTGAGGCAGGAATAAACCATATCCATTAGAGTTATTACAGATGCTGGTGGCTTTCTGTATTTTTTTGTTGTTGTTGTTTTTGAGTCCATGCTAAACAGTTGTTGCATAATTGAGCTACTTTCAGTCTTGCTCCTACTCTAGGCTGTGTTTTGTTTCTATAAAATTACATTAAGTAAAGAATCTATCACACTTAGCCCACATTTGTCAAAAGACTTTTTCTGCATATATTGTTACTACTTGACATGGTACCATGATCTAAAAAACATACTGCATATTTTGATGACAGAACACACCTGTTAATACCATCTGTTTAGTAACAGCATAATATAAAAAGACCCCTGTCTGGCCAAGATACATATATGCACCAGATCAATAATGGCTTTTGCTGAAAACTAAAACTCATAAATAATAATGAAAATGAGTAGTGGAATAGGCATCTTTCTGTGACACCCGAAGAACCATGCCTTAAATATGAAATGTCACTTTACGTGCAATACCAAACTTTGGTAAAGCCCCAGAAAATGCAGAAGAAACTTTGTTGAGATGAACTAATAAAAAAAAGCGTCAAGTTCATAAACCCAGTTTGTCCTGAATGAACACACTAATAGTGTTATGGTCAGAGCTGTTTCAGTGTAGCCTTTGCACTGTTGCCTGAAGGATTTGAAGGGCACTTTGTATTTTTTTTTATTTTAAAAAGAAAGATGCTGGAGCACCGTGTCTGCGTTCTCAGCGCAGTCCTTAATGAATTCAGCAGGGCGGAACCACCCTCCTTTTGCGAATACACTCCCAGATCCAGTTGGAGGTAACTTTCTTGGCCTGGCTGTCCTCCCCAGGCTCAGCCAGTGTGTGTGTGGCGGACGCTGCATCGTACTCGGGCACCAGATCTCCGTCATAAGCCACAAAGTAGCGCCGCAGGTTTTCAAAGTCCTGCACTGTTTCTGGGAGGTGGAGCTTTACACCTGTGAAGATGTCCAGTAGAGTCTGCAGAAGAAGTGACACAAAGTGTTTAGAGTTAAAACTAAGTCCCGATAGCAGAGTCTGTTCAATCAAGTCTGTTCAATCAATAGCAATCTTGGAAATGCCTTCCAGCATTTTTTTTAGTCCTACAACACCAGATTCCTTTGTCTAGGGTTCTCTGGGGAGAGACCTATAAACCCAAAACTGAAAGTTACATTAATATTTCAAAAACACATGTAAAATCACTGGTAAAATCTCACAAAATACTGCATATAGTTTGTAGCATTGAGCTCAAATAACACACAAAAAAAAACATTTTTTCAGGGTGTTCTGGCTACCACGCATGCATCTCTCTCAACAACGAGGGTGGGACTTTCTCACGTGTGGTTTGCCAGAAGGCAGGTTGGCTCTTTTTAAAAGCATCTATTACTAATCTATAAACCATATATTTAATTTAATTTAAGTCAATGTGAATCAGAAATCATAACCTTTTCTTTAGCACACTGACATACAATGAAACAACATCAGAGTGGCCTAAAATTGTTGTAAAAGAAAACTTCTACATATATTCTTACTATTTGACAAATAATTCAATGACATAAAATGATCTAATGATATAAAAATGGCATATTTTGATGACAATCACATATTAATATCATCTCTTTAGTAATAGTGTAATACAAAAGACCTCCATCTGGTCAGGATGAACATGTGCACCAGATCACTGGCTTCTGCTGAAAATATGACTAGAAATCAAATGTGAAAAGGAATAGAGGAATCTGTATCTTCCCAAGACACCTGGAGAACCATGACCCAAAGAACGTGAGTATTGGGAAAACTCAGACCACTTGCAATACAAAAACTAAACTGTGTCGTCATATTCAAGGTGAATCCCAGACGTTTTTTAATGTTTAGGTGGCATGAGTACTTCGTGTAAATGTCACAAGACATAAATACCCACTGCGTGTAAAGCAGCTACTGCACAAAAGTACACTGACCTTTTCAGGCTGTGGATTAGGTGTGTTTGCTGAAGCAGTTTTGGGTTTGCTTTGTCCATTGCTGTGAACTGTTTCAATCTTGATCTGAAATGAACCAAAGAAGTATCTTAAATAAAGCTCTGCAGGAGAGCAGGAAATAAAACTGCAGAAAGGCACAAAAATGTCTCTGAAAGTTTCTGTATGTCTTCGGTAGCTCTAAGAAGGCTTTTGTGGGGTTCAGAGGTAGACGTGTGACAGACCTTCTTTGCACTTTGTTCTACTGCCGGCAGCTTCCTCTTTGCTGGGGATGGGAGTTCAGATTTTACCGTCTTCTGCTTTGGAGTGTGACCATTTTCTGCAGTGAAGTAAAACAATTTATTTTTTTTAGGAACGTTCAGGAAACGGACTTAGATTAACATGAAAACATTTTAAAACATACTGTTAACTCCCCAGTCATTAACAAAAGCTGCAAAAAACAACCTGTTTTGATTTAATCATAGTTGTTAGAACCACACACTTGTTTACATATAACCACTCATATACATCCGGCCCTCTCATTCACTTTAAAGTGATGCAGAGTGTTGCTACTGTGGGGAATATTAATAAACATTGGGCTATTCCTTGCTGTCGAGAAACAAGTGGATCATTACAGCCTTCCAAAGGTTACAGACCTCTGAAAGGAGTGGCTGAAGTTTACATTTCTCCTGAATATTTCAGCTTAAACTTAATTCTGTACAGAATTATTCTGAATTAATCATTTCAGCCAGGGCTGCTTTACGAATCTCTCGCTTGTAAAAGTGTCAGCCAATACGAACAGAGGTCATTTACATATATCAGCCTCAAAGGCACAGTAATAAAAACGTCCTGAGGAAACAGGAAAATTAAAATTTTGGTACATAAATCCACATGTTAAATGGACTCAAATTCAATCAGGAAAAATCTAGAAAATGGGCCCTTTAAAAAAACCTGCTAATGCAATTAATCACAAACCAAGAACATTTATGACCTCCCAGTCTAGTCTAAGATACTTACTGGTCTTATTTGTGTTAGCTGTTCCATGTGAAATGGAAGGAGAGCTGCCTCCACTGTCCCCTCCTGAGGAGCTGTTGTCATTTTTTTTGCTTGTGGACGGCCCTGCGGTCACTTCAAAGTCACATTTCTCCTTTGAGACACGGTAGAGTTCCTAAACAAAGAGTTTAAAAGGATGGGTTGACATTTTAGCCGTCGATCCCCTTTATCTACTTAAGAGTTTTGTTCATAGCACAATCACTGAACTGTGCTGTTGAATGAATGGATGGTTCCTGTGCACTGAAAAGGCCACCAGTGAACCAGACAGCGGAGCTTATTTCTTATTGCAGCCAACCCTGCTATAAGACTGCATGCAGAAAGGGAAAAATGCTGAAAGCCCAAAGCTGAAAATGGACCTGTTGACACTAACCTCCTGCTGATTTTCATATACTTTGTTTTCAGTTCCTTAATGTTCTGTCTTTGTTTGTTATATGAATCTGGGATTTCTTGTATCTTATATACACATGTAGAGGTTATACAAAAGAAATTTAACATGCCTATTCACCTCGTACAGAAGTGCCACAATATTCCCTGGAGGGAGATTTTCCTGTTTAGGACTATATAGCAGTTATATAGTTGTTTATATATAAATAAACAAACACATCTGGTATGTTAAATAAACATATTGCTTAGTGGTACAATCAATGGATATTTTTCCTTGCTGTGTGGGGACACCCATGGGTTGCACAATGTATTTGCATAATGCATGCTGGGCATTGTAGTGAGAAAACAATGATGGACAAAAACACAAAGCACACAAAATCATGAATTCTGTCAAAGCAACAAGGCTGAGGGATATAATGAATGCAATACAGAACGCTGCCTAACAACAAATGACGTTAAATGCTAGTTTCAGGCTTGAATGCACCTTTGTGTTCAAAAATAATTGTTTGTTTAATGTTATTCTCTACTAAATACTGTTATTGATGTGTTGAGAACATTATTATTATTATTATTTATCATCATTATCATCATCATTATTATACATTGATCACTTTTTCCAACTTATGTACACAAAAAGTCCAGATCTTTTTAATACACGTGTGCTATAGTTAGCACACCAAAGAGACTCCTTAGAGTTACTAAACCTTGAGCTGGGGAAGGTCGGTGGCTGTCTTCCAGTCCTTGTCATCACGCATGCGAGTGCATCGGGGGAAACGGATGGAGATGCCGTCAGCTGTATGCATCTCTGACTTGGAGAATTCGGCTCCTGTGATTTCCCAAACTGGTGCTTTCTGTGAGGGACAGGAGCAGTGCTTTCTGTCAAATTATCTTTAAAAGGGACTAACAGAACAGACTGTATTAAGCAATTCATCCACCATGTCCAACATGAACATTCAGCATCTTTAACAGGTTGCATGGTATATTGATTGAAAATGAAGAATTAATAGACCAATTCAGACCGATTGGCACAATATGGACACAATACTAGTACTGTGATTATATTACTACATATAGTTGTGCTCATAAGTTTACACACCCTGGCAGAATTTGTGATTTTTTTATATTTTTTCAGAGAATAATAAAGATAATACAACTTTTCTTTTATTCATGGTTAGTGGTTGGGTCAAGCCATTTATTATCAAACAATTGTTTTTGCCCTTTTTTAAATCATAATGACAACAGAAACTACCCAAATGACCCTGATCAAAAGTTTACATACCCTGGAAGTTTTGGCATGATAACATACACACAAGTTGACACACATAGGTTTAAATGGCTACTAAAAGGTATCCATCCTCACCTGTGATCTGTTTGCTTGTAAATCAGTGTCTGTGTATAAAGGATCAGTAAGTTACTGGGCTCCTGA